AGAAAAAACATCTGCTCCAATTTTGAAATTTTCCCAATTTTTTCTAACCCCTTTTCAAAAAAAGAGCTAGTTCTAGGGTATAGGTGCCATACACTCAGAAGATGATAGCAATACAACGCAGTTGATTTGCTAGCCGAGTCCTTGAAGGCTGAACTAATTATACGAACTGAGAAAGAAGCTTTGAAATAGTTTGGTCTTTAAAGCACTTCAGAGATATTATCAGTACTCTGTCATGTCTTGACAGACCATGCTCCACTGATACCTTATTCCAAACAAACAACCTACGGGAAGGTTAACCGATGGATCCTTGACTATCCAAGAGTTCAATCCTACCTTTGAACACTTACCTGGCAAGTCAAATGTATCGCAGATGCTTTATCGTGACATGTTAGTTATATTAACTGCAGACCCTCCATTTACTGCTGAGGATGTAAAAGAATGCTCAATGAACGATCCCATGTGGTCTGGTGTGATTCGTTTCCTGCTCCAGGAAGATCTTATTCTGACTGTGAAGCCACCAGCACCCATTCAGTGTTTTTGTCATAAACCCAATAATTACGGGTATCGAACAGCCGAGTTGGGTACTCCTACAAAAGGGGTATACCAGTTAGTAATTCCACAGTCACTAGTGAATGTAGCCTTACAGCTAGTCACGATGTACCAGGTGTTGTGCACCCTGGTATGGATCGTTCAGTAAAACAAGTCAGATTGAAATACTTTTGGCCTCGTATGGCAACTGATATTTCTGAGTATGTTAAGAAATGTAGTGTCTGCATGCAACACAAAAGTAATGTTAATGGTCCAAATCCAATCCAAGTGTATCCAACTACTAACTAACCATGGGAAAGAGTTGCGCTAGATCTGTTAACTAATTTCCAATGTTCCCTCCAGGGCAACAAACATCTGTGTGTTATGGTAGACCATTTCACCAGATATTGTGAGTTCCTGTTGTAGATAAGACTGCTGAGACAGTAGCTAAAACGTTTAAAGAACGCATTATCTGCAGGCATACCACCCCTAAGTCCTTAGTAACAGATAATGGATGTGAATTCTGTAATGAGATTCTTGAAAATTTTTGTACCTTGTACAAGATCTCTAAATCCACCATTGTTCCTCATCATCCTGCCAGCAATGGGTTAGCAGAACGAACCAATAAGAAAGTACTTGATGTCTTGAGAGCCACTATCAGTCCCAACAATGAAACTTGGGATGAAGTTATACCTGATGTTCTGTGTGTCATAAATTCTGCTTACAATGTTTCTATAGGTGACACTCCGCATTATGCATTGTACAGTGTAGATAAACGTTTGCCTTATGAGTTGCTATATTCTAATCCGAAACCAAATTACAACCCTGCGTCTTTAGAAGAATCCGTGAAACACTTCATAAATCAACAGCAGAATTTACAAGAGTCACTAACACTCGAGCAAAGCCGTCCAAAATCAAAGTAGGTTCGAGAGTTATGCTGACTAACTTTAACAAAACGTCTGCAATGCCTAAGCTTGATCAAAAGTTTGTTGGTCCTTTTCAAGTAGTTGAATATATCACTGGCAATAAGTATAATGTGACAGACTCTGACAATCCTCCTGATCCTGTACTTTCTACCTCTAATACTCAGTCAGATAATCAACCTGAATGTCATTATTCCCTACGTACACGACAGGTATTGAGAAATTCTCAAGTATTATTTGTAACTACCAATTCAGATTTGCCTCAAATATGGCATGAGTTAGCCAGTGCAACAGTTTGATCCTCCCAAAGATGACACCCATTCTGCATATGTCAATCTCACCCTAGCAGAGCTGGTGTTAAATGTAAATAACCTGTATAGATGAATAATTACAGTATCAACTTATTAACATTCAAGAATTTTTTTTTTTTGTATTCGCGTTCTCTCCGAATTCTGAGATTTAACAGTCTAGATTTGAGTGTACCAAGTCTGCCTTTCTGTTAAACACTTCTTTCTTTGTATATACTTCTTCCTCAGAATCCGTAGATCACATGAATACAGATCAATCGATCCAAAAAAAAATTTTATCACTTCTATTGTGTAATCCCAATGTTGAGTCTCATTCTATGAGTTGTGCTATAGCATACCTTGTGATGCATTATGTTAGCTTCCAGTCCAATATTCTACTTATGTATGTTATAATGTTCAATTGTTGTGTACTTTGACATTGTATAGAATCAGCCCAAGCAGTATGCCTGCCATCTCTAGTATGTATTAGCATCGCTGAGCTCTCATTAGTATCAGTTCCTAGTAACCAGTTACCAGTAGTATGACTCACTACCAACCGTCTATGTGAATCACTTGTTATTCACTGTTCAGCTGACCTAGCATGCTTTGAATGCCGCTACCCTCTGAGGCACTCAGCAAGCCAGTTGAAGTAGAGATGTTAAGACAGATGGCAGGTCAGTCTTGGTGCTCCCCAGTATATTCCATCCAATATACTAGAACATCCAACGTGAGTGTTATTACCCAATCCACGTTATCTAACCCCCATATGACAGACTGGTTGGTTGGTTAGTTGGTTGGTTGGTAGGTTGGTAGGTAGGTTGGTTGGTTGGTTGGTAGATTGGTAGGTTGGTTGGTAGATTGGTTGGTAGGTTGGTTGGTTGGTAGGTTGGTTGGTTGGTACGTTGGTTGATTGGTGGGTTGGTTCGTATTTCGATTCCTGAATGGGCCACAATGTATGTATATGTATATATCTGAATTTTAACGTATATTACTTGTTCATATAATTTTATATCGCTGATATTTGCGATATTAGCTAAATCGTAAATATTGCTTTATATTATTATTTGACTTAGTTATATTATTAGGTAGGATGTAACATTTACACATTATTCAGTGCTCATTGCTCGAGAGTGTTAAGTAGCTGCCGGCATTGGCAAAATACCTTGATAACTACCGCCTCGCTTGTTATCCTGCTGGCTTCTCTGTAGTTGCTGGGCAGCAGCAGTCCATGGAGTGTCACGTGACCAGGGTGGGTTGATCACACTTCACCTGAGTGAGGAGACTGCCCTGCCGGTCTTTCTCTCTTTGGTTGGTGCTGATTCCAACAACACCTCCCTCTCCAGCTCTCCCTTGCTGGTCCTTGTTGGAACTTCATCTCTGTCGTTCTCTCTTGCTGTTAGTTCCGTGTAACTCTGTTCGCAGATCATAATCTAGACTTAGTGATTTTCGACGTTTTACTGAGGTTGTGTCACACTGAGACTCTGAACTGACCTAATTTGTACTGGTATCTGTGCACCATCACAGTCAGGGATTTTCTGTTGCTCCTGCTTGTTATACTGTTGTTCGGCAAATCGGTTGTCTTACTGTTCACGAAGCTGTGCTGATTGCCAGGTTGGTCAAGAAGTTAGTTTATGTGAGGACTTTTAGTCAGTCACTGGTTAAGTAGAGTCGAATCTTGAGACATAGCGAACTACTTCAAGCACTTATGTACACACATACTCACTGGTATATATTAGTATTATGTTCTCAAATGTTGACAGTGTACCAGACAGGACTTAAAAGCCACAAAGATATGATATGTACCTTGAGCACAATAAAACTGTATATGAGAGAAGTATAGGAACTTATATCCTATATTATATTAAACTGATTACTTTGATTTACTTAGATATTGTCCACCTAGACAACTTTATCTTTATTAATAAACTTCTTAAATTTTAATTTCTTTAGTTAGTAGTCTTCCAGTTATCCTGAAGCACTATTGAATCTTACTATTAAATTCTAATGGATAATTGGACCAAGATACTGACTGCTTGTTACAAAAACCCAGTAACAGGCTGAATGCTAGAGGGGCAGACCTTTCTAGTATTCACTGGAGATCTCTATGCTTATTAGATATCGCGTTTTTTGTAACAGTTCGTTGGTTGGTTGGTTGTTAGGTAGGATGGTTAGTAGGTTGGTTGGTTGATTGGTAGATTGGTTGGTTGGTTGGTTCGTTCGTTGATTGGTTGGTTGGTTTGTTGGTTGGTAGGTTGGCTGGTTGGTAGGTTGCTTGGTTAGTTAACGGTTGGTAGGTTAGTTGGTTGATTGGGTGGTTGATTGGGTTTAAAGGTTAATGGACTACACGAGGGTCATTAAGGCTCCAAGTCACCTTTGCATCAGCAGTCAAAAATGCTTTAACCCCTCAGATAGGGAATTAATCCAAACCCTGAGAGTTACACACCTCTGGGAATTTATACACTGAAAGATACAAACTTCTCGGTGTACATACACTAAATGATACCTCTCGGTGTATACTGTATAAATGGAGTTTACCTGGAGAGAGTTCCGGGGGTCAACGCCCCCGCGGCCCGGTCTGTGACCAGGCCTCCTGCTGAGATATGCACACCTCTCGGTATATATCTCGATTGGTTCATACAGTCGGCTCACAAATGGTGCTCAACCTACTCAATTATGTAACAAAGACATAAGCAGCAACTAGAACTTTTGTTTTAGGGAGACGCTTCGCTCACCAGGATTTTTATCAATCAATTCAGAGAACAATTCAAGAGTATATGGGTCAGGTCAAGCGCTGCGCGGGTATATAATACAGGTAACATGACTCATGAAATCGTAATGACATGATTGCAAACAAACCATACTACGGGAGGGTTCTATCCCCGCCCGTGGTATGGTTTAATATAGGTATTATATACCCACCAAGAAATTTTATCTGCAATAGAAACATGAGAACGGACACGTTTTAATATATAGGGAAGTGACGAAGTGGAAGAAGTGGAGCAGAGCAACAGCAGCAAACGTGGTGACAAGTGGGCGGGGTCCCCTGTTGGGAGTAGGTCAGGTTTGACCTCACGTGAGGAAGTGATGCTAAGCTAGACACCCACAACGGTGACCTGCAGAGATTGAAATACTTGGAAGCCTCCCTTCTAGCAGTAATAATAATAATAATAATAATAATAATAATAATTTTATTTCTACAAGTACATGTACAAGGTATACAGACCTGGCTGACATCAATGACATACTACTATATAGAAAGTCGTTTGTTATGCAGAGCATTTCGGGCAAATTAGGTCAGTTTTCTCCCAGGATGCGACCCACACCAGTCGACTAACATCCAGGTACCCATTTTACTGATGGGGAGCATAGACAACTAGTGTAAGGAAACACGCCCAATGTTTCTACCCTCGCCGGGAATCGAACCCGGACCCTCGCCGTGTGAAGCGAAAGCTTTAACCACCAGGCCACGGGCCACCAGCCTCAGCAGTTGGGCAGCTTCGAATATTTAACATATAAATTGTTACCCAGGCATCAAGTGACACCGACCCACATGGAAGGCCTACTTGTTTCCCTATTTTATTTCATGTGGCCTAGTTTACTATACATATCTACGCGTTAGCTTGCTCTGTACTGGAATTCAAGCTACACGTGGCGAAACGTTTCCTTGAAGTAATGTTATAAATGTACATACTTGTCTTGCTATATGTTTCTTAGTTTATTCACGAACTTTTTCTCTGCAATATTAACTCAAAGATGAATGCTCGTATATCAAGGCTCAGAAAATGGGCACAAAATAGAGGAGGTAGAGTTGTTTATGGCTCCTGAATGAATATCTGGTTAATACTATATCAGCAGTGCTTCTCTCTCTCTCTCTCTCTCTCTCTCTCAGAATCCTGAAGTGGAGAAGTTATTTCATTATTGCCTCATTGGTAATGGTACCATCCTGCCTCTGGGAGACCGGACGATTAACGATGATGAACCTTGTGACTGGGGCAAGAGACCTCTGCCTGTTCTCCTGTTTGCCTGTATACACGACTTTTGTGAGTAAGTATCTGTGATGAGGAGGACTGTAAGTATGTACGATGACGACCACTGAAAGTGTCTGCGATGACGACCACTTTGTCTGTAATGACCTCTGTGAGTATCTGGGAGATTGTGAAGGGCCTGGGTCTGGGCGGTGGTGTTACATGAAGATCAGTTCTGTGTAGCCTGGCAGCTGCTGGGTTGGAGAGGAGAAGAAAAGGGGAAAAAAGGAGGAACCAGAGAGGGATGTTCTGTTCTGTTGTAAATTCGCCGGTATAATCGCCCGGCCCGTACCTTTTCCAAGAGGTGGCCCAGCCTTGGGTCTCTGTCGAGGGAGTGTCTTAAACCAATGTCTGCCATGGGAGGAAGTACAAGTGTCTCCTCGTCTTCTGGGACCAGCTGTCCCCAGGCCTAGTCCCATTCCCCTCCCCCACAGGGCTCAGAGGGAGAAGCTAGGACCTTGGCCTGCCACAAACCCCGCCCACACTGGGCTCGAAAGGTGTGGCAGCTGCATTAGCAGCAGATGATGGCAGGAGGTTCTTTAGGCATTAAGCCCGAGTGCTGGGATAGCTAAAGAATGTCCTTGCTGTGTGTGTTGCTGCTGCTACTATTACACTTGTCCGTTGCACTCTGTACAAGAGAGGGAGAGGAAGATAATGTTGATAATGAGAGAAAGAAGAGGCAAGAATTAAGTGATAAGTAAAGAAGAATGTTAATAGAAAAGGCATGCTAGAACGTAAAAGATCTGATATGGGAAAGAATATTAAAACCTGAAAGGAATGGGAGAAAATGTAAGAGGAGATTTGTACTGGGAAGTATTAAGACTAGGGTACGTTATAACAATATGCCGAAAGAAAGAGACAGAAAGGGAATATATGAGTGTAGTGTATGAGAGACTACAGAGAGAAAATTAATATACGAAGAAGACAAAGCAAAAATGACGATTGAAAGCAACAGTGAAGATAAATCTTCCTGGATTAATATAAAAATGTGTAAAGTAACAAGACACAGCTGGAACAAAATTGTGGGATCACTTTGACTTGGTGATGGAAGGTGTTGTATCTTCTACTGTCTAGTACCCTTCTCCTTCCCTCCTGCTTTCCTTCCTTGTATGTAGTGATGGAAGGCGATGTGTCTTCTACTATCTAGTACCCTTCTCCTTCCTTCCTGCTTTCCTTCCTTGTATGTAGTGATGGAAGGTGTTGTATCTTCTACTGTCTAGTACCCTTCTCCTTCCTTCCTGCTTTCCTTCCTTGTATGTAGTGATGGAAGGTGATGTGTCTTCTACTGTCTAGTACCTTTCTCCTTCCTTCTTTCCTTCTTTGTATGTAGTGATGGAAGGTGATGTGTCTTCTAATGTATAGTACCCTTCTCCTTCCTTCTTTCCTTCCTTGTATGTAGTGATGGAAGGTGATGTGTCTTTCTACTGTATAGTACCCTTCTCCTTCCTTCTCTTTCCTTCTTGTATGTAGTGATGGAAGGTGATGTGTCTTCTACTGTATAGTACCCTTCTCCTTCCTTCTTTCCTTCCTTGTATGTAGTGATGGAAGGTGATGTGTCTTCTACTGTATAGTACCCTTCTCCTTCCTTCTTTCCTTCTTTGTATGTAGTGATGGAAGGTGATGTGTCTTCTACTATCTAGTACCCTTCTCCTTCCTTCCTGCTTTCCTTCCTTGTATGTAGTGATGGAAGGTGATGTGTCTTCTACTGTCTAGTACCCTTCTCCTTCCTTCTTTCCTTCCTTGTATGTAGTGACGGAAGGTGATGTGTCTTGTACTGTCTAGTACCCTTCTCCTTCCTTCTTTCCTTCCTTGTATGTAGTGATGGAAGGTGATGTGTCTTCTACTGTATAGTACCCTTCTCCTTCCTTCCTTCTTTCCTTCCTTGTATGTAGTGATGGAAGGTGATGTGTCTTCTACTGTATAGTACCCTTCTCCTTCCTTCCTTCTTTCCTTCCTTGTATGTAGTGATGGAAGGTGATGTGTCTTCTACTGTCTAGTACCCTTCTCCTTCCTTCTTTCCTTCCTTGTATGTAGTGATGGAAGGTGATGTGTCTTCTACTGTATAGTACCCTTCTCCTTCCTTCTTTCCTTCCTTGTATGTAGTGATGGAAGGTGATATGTCTTTTACTGTATAGTACCCTTCTCCTTCCTTCTTTCCTTCCTTGTATGTAGTGATGGAAGGTGATGTGTCTTCTACTGTATAGTACCCTTCTCCTTTCCTTCTTTCCTTCTTGTAATGTAGTGATGGAAGGTTTATGTGTCTTCTACTGTATAGTACCCTTCTCCTTCCTTCTTTCCTTCCTTGTATGTAGTGATGGAAGGTGATGTGTCTTCTACTGTATAGTACCCTTCTCCTTCCTTCTTTCCTTCCTTGTATGTAGTGATGGAAGGTGATGTGTCTTCTACTGTCTAGTACCCTTCTCCTTCCTTCTTTCCTTCCTTGTATGTAGTGATGGAAGGTGATGTGTCTTCTACTGTATAGTACCCTTCTCCTTCCTTCTTTCCTTCCTTGTATGTAGTGATGGAGGTGATGTGTCTTCTACTGTATAGTACCCTTCTCCTTCCTTCTTTCCTTCCTTGTATGTAGTGATGGAAGGTGATGTGTCTTCTACTGTTGTACCTTTCTTTCCCTTTCCCTTTTTTCCTTCCTTGTATGTAGTGATGGAAGGTGATGTGTCTTCTACTGTCTAGTACCCTTCTCCTTCCTTCCTTCTTTCCTTCCTTTTATGTACTGATGGAAGATGATGTGTCTTCTACTGTCTAGTACCCTTGTCCTTTCCCTTTTTTCCTTCCTTGTATGTAGTGATGGAAGGTGATGTGTCTTCTACTGTATAGTACCCTTCCTCCTTCCTTCTTTCGTTCCTTGTATGTAGTGATGGAAGGTGATGTGTCTTCTACTGTATAGTACCCTTCTCCTTCCTTCTTTCCTTCCTTGTATGTAGTGATGGAAGGTGATGTGTCTTCTACTGTCTAGTACCCTTCTCCTTCCTTCTTTCCTTCCTTGTATGTAGTGATGGAAGGTGATGTGTCTTCTACTGTATAGTACCCTTCTCCTTCCTTCCTTCTTTCCTTCCTTGTATGTAGTGATGGAAGGTGATGTGTCTTCTACTGTCTAGTACCCTTCTTCTTCCTTCTTTCCTTCCTTGTATGTAGTGATGGAAGGTGATGTGACTTCTACTGTCTAGTACCCTTCTCCTTCCTTCTTTCCTTCCTTGTATGTAGTGATGGAAGGTGATGTGTCTTCTACTGTATAGTACCCTTCTCCTTCCTTCTTTCCTTCCTTGTATGTAGTGATGGAAGGTGATGTGTCTTCTACTGTATAGTACCCTTCTCCTTCCTTCTTTCCTTTCCTTGTATGTAGTGATGGAAGGTGATGTGTCTTTACTGTCTAGTACCCCTTTCTCCTTCCTTCTTTCCTTCCTTGTATGTAGTGATGGAAAGTGATGTGTCTTCTACTGTCTAGTACCCTTTCTCCTTCCTTCTTTCCTTCCTTGTATGTAGTGATGGAAGGTGATGTGTCTTCTACTGTCTAGTACCCTTCTCCTTCCTTCTTTCCTTCCATGTATGTAGTGATGGAAGGTGATGTGTCTTCGCTGTCTAGTACCCTATCTCTTCCTTCTTTCCTTCCTTGTATGTAGTGATGAAGTTGTGTATCTACTGTATATACCTTCTCCTTCTTCTTCCTTCGCTTTATGTATATGGAAGGTTTGTCTTCTACTGTCTAGTACCCTTCTCCTTCCTTCTTTCCTCCATTATTACAATATTTCCCTTTGCTTCTATACCCTTCTCCTTCTTTTCCTTCCTTAATTAGTAATGGAAATTGATGTGTTCCATACTTATATACCTTCTCCTTCTTCTTTCCTTCATTTATGTATGATGGAAGGCGATGTGTCTTCTACTGTCCCTAGTACCCTTCTCCTTCCTCTTTCCTTCCTTGTATCTAGTGATAAGGTATGTGTCTTCTACTGTCTATACCCTCTCCTTCCTCTTTCACTTTCCTTGTATGTAGTTCTCGAAGTGATGTTCTTATACTCTCCCAGTACCCTGTCTCCTTCCTTCTTTCTTCCTTGTATGTAGTGTATGGAAGGTTGATGGTCTTATTACTGTTAGTACTTTATATCATAGCTTCTTTCTTCTTGTAAAAGTTAAGTGAAAAATGGAAGTTGATGTTTTTTCCGTTGCTTAGTACCATTCTACCTTCCTCTTCTTTTCTTCCTTGTATGTAGTGATGGAAGGTGAAAGTGTCTTCTACTGTAAAAGTACCCTTCTCCTTCCTTCTTTCTTCCTTGTTTTGTAGTGGTGGAAAGGGGATGTGTCTTCTACTGTATAGTACCCTTTTCCTTTCCTTTTTTCTTCTTGTATGTAGTGATGGAAGGTGATGTGTCTTCTACTGGGAAGTACCCTTCTCCTTCCTTCTTTCTTCCTTGTAAAGTTGATGGAAGGCGATGTGGGCTTCTACTGTCTAGTACCCTTCTCCTTCCTTCTTCCTTCCTTGTATGTAGGATGGAAGGTGATGTGTCTTCTACTATATAGTACCCTTCTCCTTCCTTCTTTCCTTCCTTGTATGTATTTTGGAAGGTGATGTGGGCTTCTATTATATATACCCTTCTCCTTCCCTTTTTTCCTTCCTTGTATGTAGTGATGGAAGGTGATGTGTCTTCTACTGTATATTTCCCTTCTCCTTCCTTCTTTCCTTTCCCTTTTATGTAGTGATGGAAGGTGATGTGTCTTCTACTGTATAGTACCCTTCTCTCCTTCTTTTCCTTCCTTGTATGTAGTGATGGAAGTGATGTGTCTTCTACTGTCTAGTACCCTTCTCCTTCCCTTTTTTCCTTCCTTGTATGTAGTGATGGAAGGTGATGTGTCTTCTACTGTCTAGTACCCTTCTCCTTCCTTCCTTCTTTTCCCTTTCCCTTTTATGTAGTGATGGAAGGTGATGTGTCTTCTACTGTCATACCCTTTTTCCTTCCTTCCTTCTTTCCTTCCTTGTATGTAGTGATGGAAGGTGATGTGTCTTGTACTGTCTAGTACCCTTCCCCCTTCCTTCTTTCCTTCCTTGTATGTAGTGATGGAAGGTGATGTGTCTTCTACTGGGCTAGTACCCCTTTTCCTTCCTTCTTTCCTTCCTTTATGTAGTGATGGAAGGTGATGTGTCTTCTTCTGTTAGTACCCTTCTCCTTCCTTCTTTCCTTCCTTGTATGTAGTGATGGAAGGTGATGTGTTTCTACTGTATAGTACCCTTTTCCTTTCTTCTTTCCTTCCTTGTATGTAGTGATGGAGGTGATGTGTCTTCTACTGTATATACCCTCTCCTTCCTTCTTTCCTTCCTTGTATGTATTTATGGAAGGTGATGTTCTTCTACTGTATAGTACCCTTCTCCTTCCTTCTTTCCTTCCTTGTATGTAGTGATGGGGAAGGTGATGTGTCTTCTACTGTCTAGTACCCTTCTCCTTCCTTCCTTCTTTTTCCCTTCCTTGTATGTAGGATGAAGGTGATGTGTCTTCTACTGTATAGTACCCTTCTCCTTCCTTCTTTCCTTCCTTGTATGTAGTGATGGAAGGTGATGTGTCTTCTACTGTATAGTACCCTTCTCCTTTCTTCTTTCCTTCCTTGTATGTAGTGATGGAAGGTGATGTGTCTTCTACTGTATAGTACCCTTCTCCTTTCTTCTTTCCTTCCTTGTATGTAGTGATGGAAGTTTATGTGTCTTCTACTGTATAGTACCCTTCTCCTCCCTTTTTTCCTTCCTTGTAGTAGTGATGGAAGGTGATGTGTCTTCTACTGTATAGTACCCTTTTTCCTTCCTTCTTTCCTTCCTTGTATGAGTGATGGAAGGTGATGTTCTTTTTCTGTAAAAGTACCTTCTCCTTCCTTTTTTTCCTTCCGTATGTAGTGATGGATGGTGATGTGTCTTCTACTGTAATACCCTTTCTCTTCCTTCTTCCTTCCCTTTTATTATGATGGGAAAGGGGATGTGTCCTTTACTGTCTAGTACCCTTCTCCTTCCTTCTTTCCTTCCTTTTATGTAGTGATGGATGTGATTGGGTTTCTACTTATAGTACCCCTCTTCCCTTCTTTTCCCTTCCTTGTATGTAGTGTGGAAAGGTGATGTGGTTTTTTCTACTGTCTTTACCCTTCTCCTTCCTTCTTTCCTTCCTTGTATGTGTGATGGAAGGTGATGTGTCTTCTACTGTCTAGTACCCTTCCCCCTTCCCTTTTTCCTTCCTTGTATGTTAGTTGATGGAAGGTGATGTGTCTTCTACTGTCTAGTACCCTCTCTTCTTCCCTTTTTTCCTTCCTTGTATGTATGATGGAAGGTTTATGTTGTCTTCTACTGTCTAGTACCTTCTCCTTCTTCCTTCTTTCCTTCCTTTATGTAGTGATTGGATGGTAAGTGTCTTCTACTGTCTAGTACCTTCTCCTTCCTTCTTTCCTTCCTTGTAGTGTGATGGAAGGTGATGTTCTTCTACTGTCTAACCTTCTCTTCTCTTTCCTTCCTGTATTATGATGGATGGTGATGTTTTTATGTATAGTACCCTTTTTCTTCCCTTTTTTCCTTCTGTATGTAGTGATGGAAGTGATGTGTCTTTCCGCTGTCTAGCTCCATCAAACTTTCATCATTTTGCTTCTTTTTCTTTCTATATCTTTTCAATTTTCTTTTAATTTTTCGATTTTCTCACTTCTAGTTTATTCATATTTTTGGGGGTTTTGTCTTTACTTTTCCTGGTGATGTTTCTTCTCTCTTCTTTTGTGTATCTCCTTATTCTATTTCCCATTTTTTTTATTTTCCTATTTTTTTCTTTTCTTAATTATAATCAAATTTAAATTGGTTCCATCTTTATCACTTTCGTCCCTGATTCCTGTGCCTCTCGATTAGTTGTTGCAGGTCTCTGTCTGTCTGTCTCTGTCTCTCTCTCTCTCTCTCTCTCTCTCTCCTCTCTCTCTCTCTCTCTCTCTCTTCTCTCTCTCTCTCTCTCTCTCTCTCTCTCTCTCTCTCTCTCTCTCCTTTCTCACTCTCTTTCCTCTTTATTAGTATCTCACTTTCTTCTCTTCTTTCCATTATTTTCTTCTGAATTCAGATCTGTCTCTGTTCATCTCCTCGGTTCATCTCCTGCTCTTCCATCTTCTAACTGCATTTCTCCAGTTTTTCCAGTAGGTTATCCTATTTTTTATGGTCTCTGAAACGATAATATTGATTTATATATTCAATAGCATAGAATGCTCAATTTATTTATAAAATGAATTAATATGAATAAAAATAAATGTTATTATTTTTAAATCTGTTGCGTTAGATTCTGATAAATTTTTATTGCCATATCACACTTTTATAATTTCTTGATTGGTGTTTTATGCATATATATATATATATATATATATATATTTTATATATATATATATATATTATATATATATATATATATATATATATATATATATAGTTTTTTCTAATGTTCTTGTTGTTGCGTGTTGGGTTCCCAGTGAACAGAGGAGCTTGTACCTGAACGCCCTCACTAGACACTCTAAGATTGTGCTGGAAATTCTAGGTCTTCCTCCAGACACTTACTTCAAGGCGATAAGGAAGCCCATCTCACCCTCTAAGGTCCTGAAGCAATGTAAGTCCACTCAAGGTTACATAAGACCGTAAAAATAACGGAGTACTGCCATGGTTCTACTGGCCTGTGCTAGGTTGATCCTTCTCCGACGCAAACTTTCTTTCTCGTATATTTAACTTATTTTTAAAGCTACCCAAGACAATAGCTTCAACGATGTCATTATTAAGTGTTCCAACAATTCACAGATCTGTTCCTCCACCATAACTTTAATGTATACTTTCTAAATTTGCATTCATTCAACTTGAATCCACTAGTCTACGTTTTTTTCTGGTGAAATGAGATGGTGTACATGTCACCTCAGGAAGAATTTAAGTCACAGTACAGTGGCTGCAACAATAAAAAAATTAAATTGAGATAAAAACTGGACAACGTTTTGATCTATCTTGGTAATAGGGCAATATGTGCAAATCAACATTTCATTTCAAGACAATGCTGCTGTCAGTTAGTTTAATGTTTATTATGCACCCCATACCCATCCTGTGGGCGGTAGTCAAAAGATTACAGAGGTTCATAATGGGTCCAGGGACTGGACTCCAAAGTTTTGATAGCTGAGCAAGTTACAGAGGAAATGAACTCACAATTACAAAGGTAATGAACTCACAATTTACAAAGGTAATGAACTCACAATTTACAAAGGTAATGAACTCCAGGTAGGTCTGGTCACAATCATGACAAGTTACAAAGGTATTTACAGATTACAGAGGTACGTAATGGGTCCAAGGACTGGGCTCCCAAAGTTTTGATAGCTGAACTAGGTACAAAGGTAATGAATCCTGTAAGAATAGTTACTTACGTTTATACATGGCTACAATCATTAACAAATTATAGAGTAATGAGCAATTCACACTTCGCGGTCAGTGACCTGTATTTTCAAGTCAATACATAACACACGTGACACGGCATTGTATACAGATGATGGTGAGATACAGGTAGGCGTGGTGAAGCAGAGGATGTCTTAGTACAGTAGTAACTCTGTCAATGTTGCGTCACCTGCACACAATGCTATGGATTATTATTTCAAACTGGTTTAGCTAGAAGTTTTGCGATGTTAAATGTTCCTTGGTTGTCGATGAAGAACAGGTATGGTGATACCAGCAGTGTGTAAGTAAAGAGAAATATTATTGAAAATGGTATATAATACCGACAAGTTGAAGAGTAAGACACATGTGCAGAAGTTGGGTATCTTTATTGATGGAACAGTACCGTTCCAGACCATGGAGCTAGAACTCTTCTCCTGGCTGACAGACTGGCCACTTCAAATACTTTTTCTCCAAGGATGATGGATTGATTACATCATCTTTATTTCATTACTACTGCTCTCTTTGTATTGGACTGAAGAAGCTTATTGTGTAGGCGAAACGTTTCATCAATAAAGATATCTAACTGTCGCTCATTTGTCTTAATCTTCAAAGAGAAATGTGCACAGTTCAAGACATTTATTGAACAAACGTTTCGCCACGAATGATTTTACTAGTTCTCTTTGATAGCATTGTAAGTCTGAATGTGTGGCGCTTCCAAACACAATCATCTTGTCTTATTTTCCTCTTTGGTTTTTGTCCTGGTTATTATTTGTTTCTGTTTGTCCCTATAAGTGACGCAAAAATTGTTTTTTGTCTTACAGGAATGTCTACGTTCGAGAACTCTTATAGCGATATTCTGTGCAGTCTCTCCAATGTATAGTTTGTCTCGCTCACCATAAGGTATTCTGTAGGTGCCTCATGCAATATTGCTGTGGTTGTAGGTAGATGATCTGGTTGTGCAAATAACCGAGATGATGAGCAAGACACATATGTAACACTTAGATATCTTTATTGCTGAAAGATTTCGTCTGCTCAGCAGGCTTCATCAGCCGAATACAAAGACGATTACAATACTGAACAAAATAGAAGCAGAGAGGTAACTTCGAGATCAGTCCCTCAGCCTTGATAAAGGATGGTCAGTCTTTAGCCTAAAGCAGAGGCATGAGGCCAAAAACTTAATTAAGCACTAGAGTCGGAAATGAGCGTGGCTGGCGATGACTTCACAAGGAAGCTGAGAGCCCACTAGTGAAGGTTATAAGATAGCGAGGTGCTACTGTGTCAAATAAGTACCATATTATGATATTAAAATAGAATAGGAGGATATCTTTTTTTCGGATCACGGAGCAACCGTTAAATACATATGTTTACCATACAAGAATAAGCTAAAAAAAAAAACAGACAGAGAATAGTTACGTAGGACAGTTATGTAGGGAGAAGGCCACCAGATCACCAGCAGTTAGGTTTATTATGTAGCTGCCATATTGCCAATAATAATGAAGAAAAGACTCACGTTGCAGAGTAGAGTTTTTTGGAACTACGTTTCGCTCTGTGGAGCATTATCGTCCCTTGATAAAGCTCTAAAATTCATACTCTGTTCCTCTCTGTCTGTCTGTCTCTCTCTCTCTCTCTCTCTCTCTCTCTCCTCTCTCTCCTCTCTCTCTCTCTCAATCTCTTTCTCTTCAAACTTACATTTTAAATATATCTTACAATAAAGGCGTGTGCCTAGCCTGTCTTGCAGTTGCCATCAATAATTTAAATCATCCATAACGTGTGGAATCGAAATAATTTATCTCATTCATTTAACGCATCTAATGGTACTGTGTTGTGTTGTGTTCCTGCAGCTGGTTACAAGTTAAATTTGACCCAAGCAAAGAACCCAGTTCGCTTCTGTGTGCACAGCGCAGCAGAGGCTGAGAAGTGTGAGGACCTCCGACTGGCAGCTCAGGGCTACGGTGCTGACGCTGGTCTGGGCGTTGGTTGTAGCCTCACCACTAATGCGTCGCAGTGCTATCCTGATATTTACTTCGGTAATGCTGATGTCGTTGCACTGGACGGTGCTGATGTCTTCCAAGTTACAAAGTGAGTAACCTCGAGTGCAGTGTGATGTAAGGGATTGTTGATGCCAGGACACAAGTGTATATAGACTCAGGATATTGTTAGTGGATGCGTATCCTATGTCGATACTTGTCCAATAAAATGTCCTGAATCTTTACACTTGTGTCCATTCATCCATATTATCGGCATCATTATACTTCCTACCTTCATAAGATGCTATTTTTAATAAAAATGCTACCTATAGCTATTTGAACTATTTTCTTTTCTATCTCAAGCAAGGAAACTCCATTATTTTTTGAGGTACAGCTACAATAGTTCAGTTTATTGGTCAACCTGGAATTGCTGTTATTCCAATATTTTACTGCAGACTTTATTATTCTTACGGGCCCCTGATATAAAGCCCGACGAATGCACCATGCATGGCACTAGCAAGCCTTTTAAAGAATTCGCACAAATGCAAGATGGCTCCCACGAAAATGGGTACATGTCATTTTTGTGTGTTGGATACTAAAGCTGGAGGATGTCTCAGCTGGGCGCTGGGTTGTAGCAAGGCTTCTCTACATGATTTCTCTAACTTCATGTCTAGTATGCCAAGCTTTGGAACATGAACAGTTCAAACCATGCAGAACATGCCAGGCGACTACCACTTTACCGCAAATATACTTACACAGTGTGAACAGGGATGAAGAAAGATGGAAACTGAAGACGTGTGAAGGCTTGTGTTATGTAGATACATTTCAAGAAAACAAGAGCTGGAGATACGAAGAGATCTCAAGAAGCCAGTAAGGACACCTCTTTTAATGCGGGTGTCTTGGTGTGAATAAAAATGTATAAAATCGTCCCTGAAGAGAGGTTTGTCGCTATCAGAAGACCTGCACAGGAGGATGTCGAAAAAAGGAAGTTTGCCGTCTCTTTAGAGTTTATGTGTAAACTTTATTGATGGTTCGACAGCGTTGATCTTGTTGAGGAGGGCCTTCACACGCCTTCAATTTCCCTCTTTCTTCATCCGGGATTGCAGACTCAAGGCACGAGCAATCCTTAACAAATCCACCTTAGAACAATCCTTTAAGCAGTTCATAGTGCTCCCATGTGGTGAAGTTGCCAAGAATACCCGCCAGGCACTTGCTAGAAGCAATACCAGCGTTTCCACCATAAATACATCCTCTCTCAAAGCCCTCACTACGAAACCTAGCCCCACGCCTCTAACTTCCACAGCGGGCGTCTACACCATCCTCTGTGGATACTGTCCCAAGAAATGTATAGGGAAAACAGGAACAAATCTCTCGGTCTGCCTGGACGAGCATCGACCTCCACGGGACATTTGATGAACTGGAAAGAGGCACAACGTGTCCTCGCGGAACAAGATCTTAGACGCCGACGATATCTAGAAACCTGGCTAATCCTCCACCGACACCGTAGAACATAATAAAGGAAGCTACAAAATTTCAAAAACATTAAGTTAGTTTAGTTAGGTACAGGCACACATAAGTACAATTATCATACATAGTTTATCATATGTATACATTACCTGGGATAACCCCAAAAAATCAGAGAGTGACTTATTTCCATTGGGGTCCTTGTTGTTCACTGGCATATATGATTATCAACCAGGCAACCCACCACCTACCTAACAACACATGATGACCTCTTTATCTACCTGTCCTCACCTCAAATGTCATTTTTCAGGTCATTATGTGTCACATCCTGCTCTCCGTCTATATATACTGTCATTTTAATCTGTGTATGTTAAAAGCGATCAAGGTCCCAGGACAAAAACGTGACTAGGACCTAATGACTAGGACCTAGTGACTAGGGCCTAGTGACTAGGGCCTAGTGACTAGGGCCTAGTGACTAGGGCCTAGTGACTAGGGCCTAGTCACTAGGACCAAGTGTTTGCTTGGATCTTTCTAAACCAATTAGTTGGTATCGGTTACCAAGGTTCATACTACCTTAGTTATATCCACTGAATAATCACAAACTTGCATCAGATTACTTCTTATCATTATCACAATGACAAAAGAAGTGTAATTAACATTATTACAACTCTTTTTTTTAAGTCATTTTGACATTCTTATTACTGAATAAAGTGATTAGTGGATAATGGTAAAAATCTTCACGCCCAAATTACCGTATTCAGCAATCAGTCAGAATCAATTCTTGAAGCATTGTCAAAAAACTAAAACAAGGAAATTATAAAATTATTGTATTGTGCATGTCCGAGTCTTTTGTAATGGTCAGTAATGGTGTTGTTTTCTTGTTCTAAGTGGTGTGGACTGGACAAAATTAAGAAGGCAGAATAGTTTAAGAAGAAAGGAGATTTGAGGGTATATTCGAGGTATATAATGATCTTCTTGAAGAAGAAGTATGTGCTACAGTTATTTGGATTAATAAAGAAACACTAAAAGATGAAATATAAATTAAGCTTTATAGGGAAAGACTGTGAGAGGAATTTGTGTACAGGAAGAAGTTTTCAGCCTTGAGAGTCTTTCTCTCAGGACAAGCTTCGTCACGTTCATTGAGAACAACACAATGTTTGAATTTATAAATCCCGTAGCAGTGAATGAGATGGGAGAGATATTAAAACTCGTGACCTTCCCTTCAATAGGTTTGATAAAGGTGATCTAGAGTGAAACCTTGTGCACAATAAAGACAATGTTACGTGGTAAACCATACCCCGGCCGGGATTGAACCCGCGGTCAGAGAGTCTCAAAACTGTGTGATGAATGGTTTGAAAAACCGACAAGTTGAAGATTGAGACACTTCTGCAGCATATGGGAATCTTTATTCAGGAAACGTTTCGCCACACAGTGGCTTCATCAGTCCAATACAAAGAGGAAGGCGTTAGGAGAGGAGATTGATGGATGGACTGAACACATCGACTCCAGGATGAGGGACTGATTACCTCATACTCCTCTCCTTACGCCTTCCTCTTTGTATTGGACTGATGAAACCACTGTGTGGCGAAACGTTTCCTGAATAAAGATTCCCATATGCTGCATAAGTGTCTCAATCTTCAGTCTCAAAACTCCAGCCCGTCGCGTTAGCGCGGGTTCAATCCCGGCCGGGGTATGGTTTGTTTGCAATCGTGTCATTACGATTTCGTGAGCAATGTTACGTGGTGTTTTTATTCACGTCTTTGTTGATATTCATTACCCAGCATCCACGGAAGGAGATGAAGCATTACAGCAATAGGATAACTATTTACAAATTATAATCAAACATTCCTGTGGGCTGAAGAAATACCATAATCATCCTTACATTCTGCACCCACCTTAATTTATTTCTGGTATATACCCTTAGAGATTATGGGTTTGAACGTGTGCTGAGCGAGGTGTACAACGTGGGCGGTGCAATACCAACTTCATCTTATTATGCCGTAGCTGTCGTGAAAGTTGACTCCAATATTACCTCCTTCAGTCACTTAGAAGGTCTTAAATCTTGCCACACAGGCATCGACAAGACGGCAGGTATGTATTGACTTAGAGGCACGGGTGATGAATGGACCTATGAAATGCAAAAATAATAAAAAGAAAAAATTGGTAAAATGTCGAAGCCATTAATGAGAATGGAAGAGCGTCAGCTGAAGAACAAACACGTTTCCATGACCTTTAAAGACACGTTTTATCTTTTACAGGATGGAAGCTACCTCTGGCCACTCTCCTGGAGAGACGACTGATTGACCCATCCCACTGTAATTATGTCACTGCTGCTGCAGAATTCTTTACAGGTGGCTCATGTGCTCCTGGAGCCAAGCTCCCTACTTACAACACACAGAGCAACTACATAGACCGTCTGTGTAGCCTTTGTGTTGGGGAAGGGGAGAATCATTGTGCCAGGAGCAGTGCCGAACCATTTTACTCCTATACTGGTGCCTTCAGATGTTTAGTACATGGTGGGGGTGACGTGACTTTCATCAAGCACACTACTGTCCCTGACAACACTGGTGAGTCAAAGTTCTTAACAAAAACTGGAATAGTATTAGTAGCTGAAAATTCAACATAACACGTCACCTACTCATTTAACACTTGTATGTTGTATTTACTGAAAATAAATCTCTTTAAAAAACAGAAAGGTACAATACCGTGACTGTAACAATACACGACCCGCACATAAGAGAGAAGCTTATGACGATATTTGGGTCCGACTCGGACAATATACAAGTTACACATCTCTATTTTCATTTTCATTAAGAGAGAGGGAATATATCATAGAAACTTAATAACGCTCTTCTTTTTTCGTTTTAACAATTCTTCAAAATAATTTTGCAGACAAGAGACATCGGAATTACAGTTCATTGACCGTTATATTATCATGCAATGGCAGCTACGTGACTAATTCACTCAGCATAAGTAATTATCTTAGGTGTTACAGCCACTTAGCTTTGTCTTGGCTGAGTCTGCATCACAAGCTGGCGTAAGTTATCTATATATTATTATTCTTTCAACACACCGGCCGTATCCCACCAAGGCAGGATGGCCCAAAAAGAAAAACGTAAGTTTCTCTTTTTAAATTTAGTAATTTATACAGGAGAAGGGGTTACTAGCCCCTTGCTCCCGGCATTTTAGTCGCCTCTTACAACACGCATGGCTTACGGAGGAAGAATTCTGTTTCACTTCCCCATGGAGATAACAGGAAATAAACAAGAACTAGTAAGAAAATAGAAGAAAACCCAGAGGTTAAAGTTGCAAGAGAATCGAAGACTAACCCAAAAGGATTCTTTCAGGTATACAGAAGTAAGATCAGGGACAAGATAGGCCCACTCAAAAGTTCCTCGGGTCAGCTCACTGACAGTGATAAGGAAATGTGTAGAATTTTTAACACATACTTCCTCTCAGTTTTTACACAGGAGGATACCAGCGATATTCCAGTAATGATAAATTATGTAGAACAGGACGATAATAAACTGTGTACTATTAGGGTCACAAGTGACATGGTCCTTAGGCAAATAGATAAATTAAAACCTAACAAATCCCCAGGCCCTGATGAACTGTATGCAAGGGTTCTAAAGGAATGTAAAGAGGAGCTTAGCACACCTTTGGCTAATCTTTTCAACATATCACTACAAACTGGCATGGTGCCAGATAAGTGGAAAATGGCAAATGTGATACCTATTTTCAAAACAGGTGACAGGTCCTTAGCTTCGAACTATAGACCAATAAGCCTAACCTCCATAGTGGGAAAATTTATGGAATCAATAATTGCCGAGGCAGTTCGTAGCCACCTTGAAAAGCATAAATTAATCAACGAATCTCAGCATGGTTTTACAAAGGGGCGTTCCTGCCTTACGAATTTATTAACTTTTTTCACTAAGGTATTTGAGGAGGTAGATCATGGTAATGAATATGATATTGTGTATATGGACTTCAGTAAGGCTTTTGACAGGGTCCCACATCAGAGACTATTGAGGAAAATTAAAGCACATGGAATAGGAGGAGAAATTTTTTCCTGGATAGAGGCATGGTTGACAAATAGGCAGCAGAGAGTTTGCATAAATGGGGAGAAATCAGAGTGGGGAAGTGTCACGAGCGGTGTTCCACAGGGGTCAGTGTTGGGCCCCCTGCTGTTCACAATCTACATAAACGACATAGATGAGGGCATAAAGAGCGACATCGGCAAGTTTGCCGATGACACCAAAATAGGCCGTCGAATTCATTCTGACGAGGACATTCGAGCACTCCAGGAAGATTTGAATAGACTGATGCAGTGGTTGGAGAAGTGGCAGATGCAGTTTAATATAGACAAATGCAAAGTTCTAAATGTTGGACAGGACAATAACCATGCCACATATAAACTAAATAATGTAGATCTTAATATTACGGATTGCGAAAAAGATTTAGGAGTTATGGTTAGCAGTAATCTGAAACCAAGACAACAGTGCATAAGTGTTCGCAATAAAGCTAATAGAATCCTTGGCTTCATATCAAGAAGCATAAATAATAGGAGTCCTCAGGTTGTTCTTCAACTCTATACATCCTTGGTTAGGCCTCATTTAGATTATGCTGCACAGTTTTGGTCACCTTATTACAGAATGAATATAAATTCTCTGGAAAATGTACAAAGGAGGATGACAAAGTTGATCCCATGTATCAGAAACCTTCCCTATGAGGATAGACTAAGGGCCCTGAATCTGCACTCTCTAGAAAGACGTAGAATTAGGGGGATATGATTGAGGTGTATAAATGGAAGACAGGAATAAATAAAGGGGATGTAAATAGTGTGCTGAAAATATCTAGCCTAGACAGGACTCGCAGCAATGGTTTTAAGTTGGAAAAATTCAGATTCAGGAAGGATATAGGAAAGTACTGGTTTGGTAATAGAGTTGTGGATGAGTGGAACAAACTCCCAAGTACCGTTATAGAGGCCAGAACGTTGTGTAGCTTTAAAAATAGGTTGGATAAATACATGAGTGGATGTGGGTGGGTGTGAGTTAGACCTGATAGCTTGTGCTACCAGTCGGTTGCCGTGTTCCTCCCTTAAGTCAATGTGACCTGACCTGACTAGGTTGGGTGCATTGGCTTAAGCCGGTAGGAGACTTGGACCTGCCTCGCATGGGCCAGTAGGCCTTCTGCAGTGTTCCTTCGTTCTTATGTTCTTATGTTCTTATATATATATATATATATATATATATAATATATATATATATATATATATATATATAATATATATATATATGTATATATATATATATTATATTTATATATATATATATATATTTATATATATATATATATATATATATATATATATATATATATATATATATATATATATATATATATATATATATATATATATATATGCTTGTACATGTATGTGCAGTGTGACCTAAGTGTAAGAAGAAGTAGCAAGACATACCTAAAATCTTGCATGTCTATGAGACAGAAAAAAGATACCAGCAATCCTAACATCATGTAAAACAATTACAGGTTTCCGTATTACACTCACTTGGCAGGACGGTAGTACCTCCCTGGGCGGTTGCTGTCTCCCAACCTACTACCTATATATATATATATATATATATATATATATATATATATATATATATATATATATATATATATATATATATATATTCAACAAGTCGGTCGTCTCCCACCGAGGCAGCGTGACCCAAAAAAGAAAGAAAATCCCCAAAAAGAAAATACTTTCATCATCATTCAACACTTTCACCACACTCACACATTATCACTGCTTTTGCAGAGGTGCTCAGAATACAACAGTTTAGAAGCATATACGTATAAAGATACACAACATATCCCTCCAAACTGCCAATATCCCAAACCCCTCCATTAAAGTGCAGGCATTGTACTTCCCATTTTCCAGGACTCAAGTCCGACTATATGAAAATAATATAATATATATATATATATATATATATATATATATATATATATATATATATATATATATATATATATATATATATATATATATATATATAATATATATATATGTGTGTGTGTGTGTGTGTGTCGAGCCGAATAGGCAGAACTTGCGATCTTGGCTTAAATAGCAACGCTCATCTTGCCATATAGGACAAGTGAAAATTTGTGTATGTAATAATTTCGTCAAATTTATTCTGAACCTAACGATAAAAAATATATTTCACTGTGTTTGTTTAGTATTAAATTATTGTAAACAAATCTAAAATATATTTAGTTGGGTTAGGCTAAAATAATTTGTTCTTGTTATAATAAGGTTAGGTAAGTTTTCTAAGATTCTTTTGGCGCAAAATTAAAATTTTTTATATTAACATTAATGAAAAAGATATGTCTTTAAACGTATAAGAGAAAATTTTAGAAAGGACTTAATTTTAAATGAGTTCTTGCTAATTGACCAGTTTTGCATATTCGCACGACATTATATATATTATATATAATATATATATATATATATATATATATATATATATAATATATATATATATATATATATATATATATATAATATATATATGTATGTATGCAGACAATCGCAGATTGGCGATCTTAATTATGCAGAACAACCCACGGGGGGGGGGAATCTTTAGCTCAAGTATTTTCACACTTCTCATTGCGTCAGTGTCCTCTCTCATATATCGGTCAAACAGGTAAATTTCTGGAAACCAGAATTGCCCAGCATAAATACTCAAGTCGGGACAGGACAGGTCTCGAATGCTATCTATAACCACGTTAGTGCATGTAATCACCCACGGGGTGGGATGCTGCCCAGATTATAGCACCAAACATTTCTGTTATGGAAAGAAACATAAGTGAATCTTCCCTCTTGGAACATGAAAGGAATATAGTATACAACTCAAATTATGGGTTATACAAGCTCTATAATTATTTCGTAGAGTCGAAACTTAGACACATATGCAACATCTGGGCATCTTTATTGTAGACGTTTCGCCATCCAGTGGCTTTATCAATACAAATTCCAGGACATAATGTGAAGACAGTAGAACTACAGAAGATGAGGTAATCAGTCCCTCAGTCTTGGAGTTGGTGTGAGGAGCACCGTAGTCGCGGAGGTTCTGGAGCAGAAGGCAAGGAGCCTGGCGATGATATACTAACGTCAGGTGGAAAGGGGACGTGTAGCAGACGAGGGCATAGTCACTGGCAGGCGGGATTTCCCAGTGGAATTAGGTCCGACCCAAAGAGATGGGTTAGTTGAAGTAGTAGTTGTCGTAGTCGTGAAGGTTATGTACATGTCCTCAGAATGCCCTCGTCTGCTACACGTCCCCTTTCCACCTGACGTTAGTATAAAAGCATCAGCCTCCTTGCTTCTGCTTCAGAATCTCCACGACTACGGTGCTCTTCGCACCAACTCTAAAGTAGAGAGGGACTGATTACCTCATTTTCTGTATATAGTTCTACTGTCTTCAAGTTATGTCCAGGAATTTGTAAAGCCACTGGATAGCGAAACGTCTACAATAAAGATGCCCAGATGTTGCATATGTATCTTAGTTTCATCTTGTCGGTATTGCACATCATTCTTGTACAACATTTAGTAGAGTCCATTGTATACAATCTTAAACAACAATGCTATACAAAATCACAGGATTGTTCATTATGCCAGGTGGGCTGATGGACTGGTGACACCCGACCTGTGTCTACGCACCAAAACTTCAAACCACGTCACTTGTGATGATTATATAACGCCTGTAGCTGTTAATGTACCATACAGTGACAAGCACACAAGATAAAGTGATAACGTAAGGAGAGGTTAAAGGGTTTTAGTAGAATTTAGATCATAGAAATATTATCGGATAAGCATAGAAGTTCCCCTTATATGGCATATTAACAGACACTGAGAAAATAGTAGACAGTATTTAGGAAGAGGTACTTCTGAGTACATCGGTAGAACACTCGAGCACCCCAGAGCAGGACATTTAAACGGTCACACAGAATAATAGCAATCCATGTCTACAGTATCTAACGAGAAACTTATTTTCTTAAACCATATGACCTGTTATAAACGATTAGAAAAAGCTTAAGTCTGGCTTTTTATGTCTTATAATTTCCTACTTGACATCTCAGAAACCCTCCTACCCCATATGGGTAGTAGGGGGATGATGGTAGGGTGGGATGGGCACCGACCACTAACCCAATCTAAGGGTAACCGTGGCCGGTGACATCTACGCTACTCTGAGACCTCTCTCCCTGCTTTGGTTGCTCCCTTGTAACATTGCACAGCTCCTGATGACGTACTGAGAAGTGTGAAAGTACTTGAGCTAAAGATTTCCACCCCCCTCCGTGGCTTGCCTTGCATATATATATATATATATATATATATATATATAATATATATATATATATATATATATATATATATATATATCAGCTTTCTAATAATGCATTATCTCAAAGATTTATTTCAATGTTTAGCGGCCCATTAACAATTCCATTTCAGATGGTTCCAACACTGAGGACTGGGCAATAAGTCTACGGTCTGAGAACTTCAGACTTATGTGTCCTTCTGGTGGGACTGCTGCCGTCACTGAGTTCCGGACATGTAACCTTGCCTTAGTACCTGCCCATGAGGTCAAGTATTTGTCTTTACTATTGTATCACTGGGAAAGCATGAGACTAGCCTGAATGAAAGTCATGTCAGCCAACTGGATATTCTCTTTTATTTATGTTTTTAAGTGAAGAGTGAAGAACTACTGAGACAAAAAAAGTTAAGCAGAGGTAAAAGAAATATGGGTATGTTTTAGACTCAGTCAGGGAATATCCTCGGTAGATGTAAAGTGGCACTTCCACTGTACATTGATCAGTGTTTATGTCACTTAATTCAAATATGTTTTTGTGTTTATTTATATTTCGCAAACCTTATATACGAGCTTGTTGCTTTCATTTTGTGTATTCTTAGTATCTAATGACAAAAATTATGATATATATATTTATCTTCAGTTATGCCTCTGTTAAGATGTTTTAAGTAAGACTACACAATGAACATTGCTTGTAAAGTTCATATTTTTTTTTTAACACAGGAGGACTAATATTGTATTTTGTTTAAGTTTTTGACGAAACTGCAGTGTTATTCCACATCAACACTTGCAGTGGTTGACACATACACGGACGGAGTATCAAGCCGCCACCACTCCATGCACTGAATGACTCGTATTGGTTCAGCATTTGACATGAAATAAAATAATCTAATGTTGAACATTGCAGGTAGTAGTGTCAGGGAGACTGACAGAGGCGAGGCTGAGTGAGGTGCGTCAGGTGTTGCTGGGAGTGGCTCAGGTGTTCAGTCCCAGCGCTCCAGGCAGCAAGACATTCAAGTAAGTGTTCCAGTTCCTCCCCCTCCCTCCTGTTTTTACACAGTTGAATTTACAGACCAAGAATTATCTTACCTTAGCTCATTTCAAATCCCAGCCCTATTTAAGATATACTACCATCACTCCCAGGATGCAACCAAGAACAGTTGGTTGACACCCAGGTACCTACTTAATGCTAGGTAAACAAGGAAGGGCAGCAGGTCTATGGAAACATGCCCAAGGTTTCCATCCGTCTCAATCCCCGATACGGGTGGAAACCTTGGACCTTGTGTGTGTGAGTTGAGAGCCCTGCCAACTGAGCCATGAGACGTTTTCTTTGAGCACTCGAACCTCTCATGATGCTTTGATACTAGAGATAAGCTCATGATCTGGGGAATTGGAGCTACACTCCTCTTCCTCTAATTAAATATATTTGACTTCCTCTACCCACGTGCTGTTTAACTCTTTTGAGTTTAACGCTTCACATTGAATATTGTAATAATATTTCCGAGTTTCTCTGAATTGATGTTTGTACTCGCATGTCTGTAATCACATTTTTTGTGGTTGAAGGGGTCGAGACTCAACTCCTGGCCCAGCCTCTTCGTTTATGTGTGTGTGTGTGTGTGTGTGTGTGTGTGTGTGTGTGTGTGTGTGTGTGTGTGTGTGTGTGTGCGTACTCACCTATTTGTACTCACCTATTTGTGGTTGCAGGGGTCGAGTCACAGCTCCTGGCCCCGCCTCTTCGCTGATTGCTACTAGGTCCTCTCTCTCCCTGCCCCATGAGCTCTATCATACCTAGCCTTAAAACTATGTATGGTTCCCGCCTCCACTACGTCACTTTCTAGGCTATTCCACGGCCTGACTACTCTGACTGAAGAAATACTTCCTAACATCCCTTTTATTCATCTGAGTCTTCAACTTCCAATTGTGACCTCTTGTGTCTGTGTCCCTTCTCTGGAACATCCCGTCTTTGTCCACCTTGTCTATTCCGCGCAGTATTTTATATGTCGTTATCATGTCTCCCCTGACCTTCCTGTCCTCCAGTGTCGTCAGGCCGATTTCCCTCAACCTTTCTTCATAGGACAATCCCCGTAGCTCTGGGACTAGTCTTGTTGCAAACCTTTGCACTTTCTCTAATTTCTTGACGTGCTTGACTAGGTGTGGGTTCCAAACTGGTGCTGCATACTCCAGTATGGGCCTGACGTAAATGGTATACAGAGTCTTAAACGAATCCTTACTGAGGTATCGGAACGCTATCCGTAGGTTTGCCAGGCGCCCGTATGCTGCAGCAGTTATCTGATTGATGTGCGCCTCAGGAGATATGCTCGGTGTTATACTCGCCCCCAGGTCTTTTTCCTTGAGTGAGGTTTGCAGTCTTTGGCCATCTAAACTATATTGTGTCTGCGGTCTTCTTTGCCCTTCCCCAATCTTCATGACTTTGCATTTGGCAGGGTTAAATTCAAGGAGCCAGTTGCTGGACCAGGCTTGTAGCCTGTCCAGGTCTCTTTGTAGTCCTGCCTGATCCTCATCCGATTTGATTCTTCTCATTAACTTCGCATCATCTGCAAACAAGGACACGTCTGAGTCTATCCCTTCCGTTATGTTGTTCACATATACCAAGAACAGCACAGGTCCTAGGACTGACCCCTGTGGAACCCCGCTTGTCACAGGCGCCCACTCTGACACCTCGTCGCGTACCATGACTCGTTGTTGCCTCCCTGTCAGGTATTCTCTGATCCATTGCAGTGCCTTTCCTGTTATGTGTGCCTGATCCTCTAGCTTTTGCAGTAACCTCTTGTGAGGAACTGTGTCGAAGGCCTTCTTGCAGTCCAAAAATATGCAGTCGATCCACCCCTCTCTCTCTTGTCTTACTTCTGTCACCTTGTCATAAAACTCTAGTAAGTTTGTGACACAGGATTTTCCTTCCCTGAAACCGTGCTGGTTGTCAATTATACACTTGTTTCTTTCCAGGTGCTCCACCACTCTCCTCCTGATGATCTTCTCCATGACCTTGCATACTATACACGTTAGTGATACAGGTCTGTAGTTTAGTGCCTCATGTTTGTCTCCCTTTTTAAAAATTGGGGCTACATTTGCCATTTTCCATACCTCAGGGAGTTGCCCAGTTTCAAATGATGTGTTGAAGTTCTTTGTTAATGGCTCACACAATATCTCTGCTCCCTCTTTAAGGACCCATGGAGAGATGTTGTCTGTTTGTCTGTGTGTGTGTGTGTGTGTGTGTGTGTGTGTGTGTGTGTGTGTGTGTGTGTGTGTGTGTGTGTGTTTGTGTGTGTGTACACTCACCTAATTGTGCTCACCTAATTGTGGTTGCAGGGGTCGAGACTCAGCTCCTGGCCCCGCCTCTTCACTGATCGCTACTAGGTCCTCTCCCTCTCTGCTTCCTGAGCTTTGTCATACCTCTTCTTAAAACTATGTTTGGTTCCTGCCTCCACTACTTCACTTACTAGGCTATTCCACTTCCTGACGACTCTATGACTGAAGAAATACTTCCTAACGTCCCTGTGACTCGTCTGAGTCTTCAGCTTCCAAATGTGACCCCTTGTTTGTGTGTCTCCTCGCTGGAACATCCTGTCTCTGTCCACCTTGTCTATTCCAAGCAGTATCTTGTATGTCGTTATAATGTCTCCCCTGTCCCTTCTGTCCTCCAGCGTCGTCAGTCCGATTTCCCTCAACCTTTCCTCGTACGACATTCCCCTGAGCTCTGGAACTAGCCTTGTTGCAAACCTTTGTACTTTCTCTAACTTCTTGACGTGCTTGACCAGGTGTGGGTTCCAGACTGGTGCTGCATACTCCAGTATGGGCCTAACATACACAGTGTACAGTGTCTTGAATGATTCCTTATTAAGGTATCGGAATGCTATTCTTAGGTTTGCCAGGCGCCCGTATGCTGCAGCAGTTATTTGGTTGATGTGTGCCTCTGGTGACGTGCTCGGTGTTATGGTCACCCCAAGATCTTTCTCCCTGGGTGAGGTCTGTAGTCTTTGTCCACCTAGCCTATACTCTGTCTGCAGTCTTCTTTGCCCCTCCCCAATCTTCATGAGTTTGCAATTGGCAGGGTTGAATTCGGGAAGCCAGTTTCTGGACCACGTGTCCAGCCTGTCCAGGTCTCTTTGCAGTCCTGCCTCATCCGATTTAATTCTTCTCATTAACTTCACATCTGCGAATAGGGACACTTCAGAGTCTATTCCTTCCATCATGTCGTTCACATATATCAAAAATAGCACTGGTCCTAGAACTGACCCCTGTGGGACCCCGCTCGTCACAGGCGCCCACTGTGATACCTCTTCACGTACCATGACTCGTTGTTGCCTCCCTGTCAGGTATTCCCTGATCCATTGCAGTGCCCTCCCTGTTATATGCGCCTGATCCTCCAGTTTCTGCACTAATCTCTTGTGAGGAATTGTGTCAAAGGCCTTCCTGCAGCCCAGGATAATGCAATCAACCCACCCCTCTCTCTCGTGTCTTCTGTTACCTTGTCATAAAACTCCAGAAGGTTTGTGACACAGGATTTGCCTTCCAAGAATCCATGCTGGTTTTCATTTATAATCTTGTTCCGTTCCAGGTGTTCCACCACTCTCCTTCTGATAATCTTCTCCATGACTTTGCATACTATACATGTCAGAGACACAGGTCTGTAGTTTAGTGCCTCGTTTCTGCTTCCTTTCTTAAATATGGGGACTACATTTGCCGTCTTTCATATCTCAGGTAGTTGCCCAGTTTCAAGGGATGTGTTAAAGATTATGGTTAGGGGCACGCACAGCATCTCTGCTCCTTCTCTAAGGACCCACGGGGAGATGTCCGGTCCCATCGCCTTTGAGGTATCAAGGTCACTTAGCAGCTTCTGTACCTCCTCCTCGGTTGTTCGTATGTCATCCAACACTTGTTGGTATATTCCCTCTTGATGTTCCCTTCTGTGCTGTCTTCCCAGAGCCCTTCCTGTCTCTACTGTAAAAACTTCCTTGAATCTCCTGTTTAGCTCCTCACATACCTCCTGATCATTTCTTGTGATTTCTCCACCTTCTGTTCTCAGTCTGATCACCTAGTCTTTGACTGTTGTCTTCCTCCTGATGTGGCTATACAACAGTTTCGGGTCAGTCTTGACTTTCGATGCTATGTTATTTTCATACTGTTGCTGGGCCTCCCTCCTTACCTGTGCATACTCGTTCCTGGCTCTGCGACTAATCTCCCTATTTTCATGTGTTCTCTGCATTCTGTACTTTTTCTATTCTCTATTGCACTTAGTTTTTGCCTCCTTACACCGTCGGGTAAACCAGGGGCTCGTTCTGGTCTTCCCATTGTTTCTGTTGCCTTTGGGAATAAACCTTTCCACTGCCTCCTTGCATTTTGTTGTTACATATTCCATCATTTCATTTACTGGCTTTCCTGCCAGTTCTCTGTCCCACGGAACCTCCTGCAGGAAGTTCCTCAAACCTATGTGGTCCCCTCTTTTATAGTCTGGCTTTTCCCATTCAACTCCTGTTACTCTCTCCACTTACAATTCTACTATGTATTCAAAGCACAAAACCACGTGGTCACTAGCTCCTAGGGGACTCTCATATGTGATGTCCTCAATGTTTGAACTGCCCAGGGTGAACACAAGGTCCAATCTCGCTGGTTCGTCCTCCCCTCTCACTCTGGTAGTGTCCTTAACATGTTGGTGCATGAGGTTTTCCAGCACCACATCCAACATCTTGGCTCTCCATGTTTCAGGACCCCCATGTGGCTCCAGGTTTTCCCAGTCAATCTCCCTGTGGTTGAAATCCCCCATAACCAGCAACTTTGCTCTGCTGGTGTGAGCTCTTCTTGCCACCTCAGCAAGTGTGTCCACCATTGCTCTGTTGCTCTCTTCATATTCCTCTCTTGGCCTCCTGAAGTTCTGTGGTGGATTATACATCACTGCAATGACCACCTTGTGCTCCCCAGACTGAAGTGTACCTACTATGTAGTCCCTTTCTCCAGTCTCGTCTATGCCTCCCATTTTCTCGAATTTCCATCGGCTTTTTACGAGCAGTGCAACCCCTCCTCCCCCTCTGCCCCTTCTATCTTTCCTCATGATCTGATATCCTGGTAGGAAGATTGCATCTGTTATTGTCTCAGTGAGTTTTGTTTCTGTAACTGCTATGATGTCTGGGGACTTCTCATTGATTCTTTCTTGCCACTCCTCATATTTATTCGTTAATCCATCCGCATTTGTACTGTAACTGTGGTCCTGGGGGAATACTGGGGTTGGGAGAGCAGGAGCCCTGGTGGGGGCCTGTGGGGGGTTGCAGTGAGGGTGGAGGAAGAGGTCCCATAGGGGGTTGCTGTAGGGGTAGGGTTATGGTGCGGGGGGTGGGAACAGAGGGATCGGTGTGTGATTGTTGGTTTAGATTGTTCAGTTGCCTTGGGGGTGTCGTGGTTGGAGTCCTTCTGCAGGTGTTTCTGGGGGGTGTGCTTGCCCTTCCACCTGTGCCTGGGTTATTCTGCTCTTCTTTGTCATTTCCTCCCATTCCTCCTTTCGTTTTTGCACTCTCTTTCAGTATCATCCTTTCCTCCTGTGTTCTGTCTCGATCGAGGTACACACTCTTGAACTCCTGTTTGCCTCTCAGCTGTGCTTTTCTCCTGCAGGATCATGGTTCGAGTTGATTCTGCCTTGAAAATTACTTTGAGAGGCCGTTTCCTTCTCTTTGTGAACCACCCGTGTGTGTGTGTTTGTTTGTTTGTATGTGTGTGTGTGTGTGTGTGTGTGTGTGTGTGTATGTGTATGTATTCACCTATTCGTACTCACCTATTTGTGGTTGCAGGGGTCGAGACCCAGCTCCTGGCCCCGCCTCTTCGTTTGTGTGTGTGTACTCACCTATTTTACTCACCTATTTGTGGTTGATGGGGTCGAGATTCAGCTCCTGGCCCGCCTCTTCACTGATCGTTACTAGATCCTCTCTCTCCCTGCTCCAGCAGGGAGCTCCATATTGATTTAGAGTTGCGTGAGTTTTAATATGCGATTCTTAAACAGACTGGTTTCTTACCGATAATTGGCAATGACCGGCTTCAAAATTTAAAAGTTGGTCTGTCTTAATTAAAGAAAGAACTTGATTGCATATTTGTTGTGTATATCCCGATTTGGCAGTTTAATTTAAGAATTTTTTGAACTTGAGATATTGAGTTTTCATGTTATAATTTGTGAAGACTTCAACCAGTCACCTTCACACCTTCAATACCGATAATTTAAGAACGCAATTTCTGTCAAGCTGCACACTGGAAGTGCTGATTAATGTCACTGATTAATGTCAGTTATAATTGGTTTAAGGGGCACGTAAGTTCCCCTGTCTTCTAATAACATGTTCATTTTTCTACTATAATCTACCTTGTCTAGAATCTTTCCTTAATTCATGATATAACTTAACAAATCTTTGAGGACAATTATGTTGCAGAGGTGTTGCAGTTGTGTTGCAGAGGTCTGAGCAAAGTTCAGACTTCTGCAACACAACTGACCTCAAAGATTTGTTAAGTTATACCATGAATTAAGGAATGATCCTGGACTTCATCTTACCAAACAAAGTAAATATGATAATAATTGTGGACAAGGTAGATTATAGTGGAAAAATGAACATGTTATTAGAAGACTGGGGAACTTACGTGCCTCCTAAACCTTCAAAACTCTCATAGCGGAAAGTTAGAATTGGTTTGGGGCCGTATAAATTTCAGTAAGTATGTAAGTTTATTCAGGTATACACAAATACAGTTACATAGATTATCATACACAGCAGTATATGTGTAGAGAACCTAAAATAACAAAGTCAGGGGTGACTAATTTCCATTGAGGTCCTTATAATACCTTATTATTGTACTATAAAGGAGATAATATTTTATTATTATTATAATACTATAATAATAATACTAGGAACAAGGTCAAATGAGTTTTTTATATTACATGTGAGTTTATCTGGAGACGGTTTCGGGGGTCAACGCCCCCGCGGCCCGGTGTTAGCTAAACAAAAATAAAAAATAATTTTCACTTTCTGTTGCTACATTTATTAGGTACCTTTTGGTACTCTTCTTGAACTGGTTCATGCTATGACTGGCTTTGACATGTGCAGGCAGTCTATTCCATTCCTTTATTGCTGTACAATGAAAGGGGTTTGAAGCCTGGCCACTGACTGTGGGTACTACAGAGTTGGACTCTCTCCCCCTAGTATTATGGTTACTTTGGTTCCCAACCTTGACAAAATTGGCAGAAAGATATTCTGGACACTCCTTGTGAACAATTTTATAAATCTGATTTAACTTTAGTTGTTTTACTCTGTCTTCAACATTCAACACATCCAGTTGTTGTAATTCATCCTGGCCTACATGTTCTCTTGGATCCAGGTCCAGGATGATTCTTATCATTTTGTTCTGGGTGATTTGCAGTTTACCTTTTAGTTGTTTTATCAAGGCAGAGTACCATGAAGAGTAAGTGTAGTCCATATGACATTGTATAAGTGCTGGACATAGGGTCTTGCGAGCCTCAGTAGGTAGACACTGTGCTTGTCTGTAGAGGAACTTCAGTCTGGCATTCGCTTTCTTTACTACACTGTTCCCTATCAGTTCTCCTGACATGCATGGGTCAAAGGGGTTTCCCAAATATTTTACTGAGCAAGCTGAAGTGATGGGTTTCCCATTACATTTGCCATTTTTATTGAGGAAATTTGGATTTTATTTCCATGAGAAAATTTATGATTGTCTTTTTCCAATTGCTTTTAGATCTTGAGTAACGACAATTAACTACTGCAGTAAAACATATGTCGCACTCTATATTTATGTCTTATGCGTACGTTGTGGTAGAGGGGGCTAGGCTTACAGGATAATAATAATAATAATAATAATAATAATAATAATATCTTTATTTCTACAAGTACATGTACAAGGTATACAGACCTAGCTGACATCAATGACATACTACTATATAGAAAGCTGTTTGTTATGCAGAGCATTTCGGGCAAATTAGGTCAGTTTTGTCCCAGGATGCGACCCACACCAGTCGACTAACATCCAGGTACGGCTTGACAAAGCTCCTGGAGAGCGAAACGTTGCCACAATAAAATGTCACATTAGTTGCACTTGTGTCTTTTTACTTTACATCTAGGTACCCATTTTGTACTGATAGGTGAACAGGGGCAGCAGGTGTCTTATGGAAATACGTCCTAATGTTTTCCAGTCGTACCAGAGATTTGAGCTCCGGACCTCAGTGTGTGAGGTGAGTGCGCTAGCTATAAAACTAAGAGCCACTTTTCTCGGATCGCGCAGCGGCCAAAACACATCAGTGTTCTTCCATTGATGGAAGGCCTAACGCTTTAATCCTTTCTAAAGAGCTTCTATCACTCGACTCAAATTCGCCACAGGACTTTTAAACGGCTCATTTTCCTCAATTCAGGAACCAGTCTGGATACATGCCTTTATGTTTTTTTTAAATGAGGGGCTCTACACCGGTGCTTCATACTCAAGAAGGGTACCTGGAGTTTACCTGGAGAGAGTTTCGGGGGTCAACGCCCCCGCGGCCCGGTCTGTGACCATGCCTCGTGGTGAATCAGAACCTGATCAACCAGGCTGTTACTGCTGGCTGTACGCAATCCAACGTACGAGCCACAGCCCGGCTGGTCAGGTACCGACTTTAGGTGCCTGTCCAGTGCCTGCTTAAAGACAGGTAGGGGTCTATGGGTAATCCCCCTTATGTATGCTTGGAGGCAGTTGAACAGTCTTGGGGCCCCTGACACCTATTGTGTTGTCTCTTAACGTGCTAGTGACACTCCTGCTTTTCATTGGAGGGATGTTGCATCGTCTGCCGAGTCTTTTGCTTTTGTAAACGGTGTTTTAAGTTGATGTTCGTCGAGGTTACGGAATGCAACTCTTATGTTTGCGACCTTAGCTCGTGCTGTTGATGTAATGTTGATGGCGCTTCAGGAGACTGGTCTGGAGTAAATGTTTTTTCTAGGCACTTCCCCAAAGTTTATGTTTTACCTCTTCGATAGCCTGTTTGTATTTGTTGAATTTTCTCCCCAACTGCATGTATTCTGTATCCACACTTTTTTTTTCTTTATACTTTTCAATTAATTTCAACTTTCAATTTCCAAGGCTCTTTGGAAAATACCAAGGCAAGTCAGACTTACTGGTGAAGAACTCAGCTGTCGGACTGAGAGCTTTAAGTGAAGATACTCCAGAGGAGATAAGAAGAAAGAAGGATTACTTTAAGAAACTTAGTGAACTTCACAACTGCGACGGTAAGTCAGAGACACTATTGTGCAAAGATATTTATTCATGTAGTTTTCCATTATTTCAAACTTTTTAGATTCTGAAAATGCTTACCTCATCATCTTAATGTTTCCAGTTCGCGTGTGTGCCCTTGAGGAGCAGATGGCAGACTGCAAGGCCATGGCTGCCACGATGACTGAAGAGGGGCAGCAGTTTGTTTGCGTCAGTGCTAGAGACAGGTAACGTGTCCTACCACAACACGTTTCATTGATCTGTTTTTGTCTATAACGTGGTTTAAAAATGTTCAGTACTAAGTATTAACTTAGTCATATATCAACGTTGGCTACAGATATATTACCAAATCTCTAGTTTGCTATTTCTCTTCCGGGCTGTCAAGGTTGGACTGCGTGAGACGAGTGATGAGAGGTCAGGTAGATATGACACCATTGCCAGGAAGTTATCTCAAGTTTAATCCTAATCTGAGAATTATTGCACAAGCTCGTGATCCTGTCTATGCTGCTGGTAAGTCACTGGAGGGAGCACCAGGAAAATTATTGTCTGTAGCCTTTATAATAAAATTATTTTGAAAGAAATCATGTGCTAATCTCAAAGTGCATAGACCTCTCGGTGTATATACACAGAGAGACATAGACCTCTCGGTGTATATACACAGAGAGACATAGACCTCTCGGTGTATATACACAGAGAGACATAGACCTCTCGGTGTATATACACAGAGAGACATAGACCTCTCGGTGTATATACACAGAGAGACATAGACCTCTCGGTGTATATACACAGAGAGACATAGACCTCTCGGTGTATATACACAGAGAGACATAGACCTCTCGGTGTATATACACAGAGAGACATAGACCTCTCGGTGTATATACACAGAGAGACATAGACCTCTCGGTGTATATACACAGAGACATAGATCTCTCGGTGTGTATGACCTTAACCATTAACATTAATAACCAGAGCAAAGTTCATTATGCTGTTAACCTTCTCATTTAACCTGGAGAGTTTACCTGGAGAGAGTTCCGGGGGTCAACGCCCCCGCGTCCCGGTCTGTGACCAGGCCTCCTGGTGGATCAGAGCCTGATCAACCAGGCTGTTGCTGCTGGCTGCACGCAAACCAACGTACGAGCCACAGCCCGGCTGATCAGGAACTGACTTTAGGTGCTTGTCCAGTGCCAGCTTGAAGACTGCCAGGGGTCTGTTGGTAATCCCCCTTATGTGTGCTGGGAGGCAGTTGAACAGTCTCGGGCCCCTGACACTTATTGTATGGTCTCTTAACGTGCTAGTGACACCCCTGCTTTTCATTGGGGGGATGGTGCATCGTCTGCCAAGTCTTTTGCTTTCGTAGTGAGTGATTTTCGGAATAACATTTCCGGAATAACATTTAAGAAGGCAATTCTTTTTCAAATGAAAATCCTTCTTGTAAATAATTAAATAACCAAGTTGTTCTGGCTTACAGATGACTATCGGTACAAAGCAGTGATGGTAGTGCGACGGGGTACAGTGACCCGCACGCTGGACCTGCGGGGCAAGAAGTCTTGTCACACAGCCTACGGCAGGACAACTGGCTGGAAAATACCTCTAGCAATGGTACGTTCAGACTACATACACTGCACAGAGCAAACTTTACTGGGATTACCTTCTGCCTTATGACTTGATAAAGCTTTGGAATGAGGGAAATGTAGCCCCAGCTTTTAAGCTTGTTCTGCATATTGCTTCCTTATACCCAAAACTGCTGAGGATTCCTCATCTAATCAGCTTCAAATGGTCGACGATTGTGTTTCCTGCTTACGCACCCCAGCTCTGATTATTATTATTATTATAATCAAGGGGGAAGCGCTAAACCCGTAGGATTATACAGCGCCTGTGGGGGGATGTGGAAGGTATTCAGGCTTAATTCAGGGAACTGGAGCACAGATCCAATTCCCTGAATCAAGAGCCCCTCACCAGCGTCAAGGAGCCTTCCTTGAGGGGACCCCAGCTCTGAGCAGCTAGACTAGATTTTTGTAATGTAATGTTTGAGTAACATGGAGTAATATGTATTTATAATGTATCCCTCAAACCTCATGTATTGTATATGCCATCTTGTGCCCTAAATATATCTTCATCCTTGAGTACCATATTACATAATAAAATATACCAATTGGTGAAGTAACAAAAGATGAGGTGGGAGAGGAAGTGGAATACTCAAATGGCTTTAGAAAGAAATCCAAATATTTTATCTCGAAGTCTTTATCTACTCCTAGGCTATGTGTCCCTACAATTTATACTGAAAATGTGTGTGTGTGTGTGTGTATATATATATATATATATATATATATATATATATATATATATATATATATATATATATATATATATGAAGGAGGGGTGTAAATGTTGCAGTTTAAAAACTGTAGTGTAAAGCACCCTTCTGGCAAGACAGTGATGGAGTGAATGATGGTGAAAGTTTTTCTTTTTCGGGCCACCCTGCCTTGGTGGGAATCGGCCAGTGTGATAATAAAATATATATATTTTTATATATATATATTATATATATATATATATATATATATATATATATATACCACCTCTATAACTGAACTGGGGACCCTCATCCTCAGAGAAGACAATAAACGTACTCAGGGAAAACTCAAGGTTCTCCCCGGAGCTGTTTGAATATTTTCTTCTCCTACCACCCCGTATATTTTATATTCTGTATGAAATTTTATTAATAGAATACACTGGCAGAAAACACAAACATGAATACTTTTTTACAATATATCAAAGATTAGGAATCTCCTCCAGCTCTTCCGAAGCCGGACGAGAGCCAATTATGCAGAAAGCATTTTCCCTCTGGATGGCCACACTGAGGCGCTGGAACATGAAAGTGGCTGCCCTTGGGTCCCTGGTGATGTCAATGAGTCTGGAACCCAGTTCTTTAAGGAAACGTGTGGCATTTTTTCCCCCATGATCCCAAGATCTCTAATCCCACTGAGACAAATTGATACTGTTGGTTTATGTCCCTGTACTTGCTGATCTTGTACTCCTCCCTGTGATCAGCAGTTCCTCCCTGTCACCCGACACTGTGATGGATATAGGTGTCAGCCAGTGTGGACACACAGGTATAGTCCTATGCTATGAGCTTGCTACTCTTCCAGGGATAGATGGTGATCCCATCGGGGTGGTTTGCTGGGTTGTGGGTATTATTGGCTGCTAGTGATCGGGGCTCTCTCTCGGCTGGGCATCCAGCTGTAGCAATGGTTCTCTTTATGATGTCATTGACTTCATTGTGTCTTACATGCCAGCCCTTGGTTTTGGAACAGTTAAAACCATGTAAACCATATTGGTCGGCTTACGCATTGCAGCAAATATACGTATATTCCGTGAGAATTGGGACAGCAAGGTGCAGAACCACTGCAATACAGAGGGTCATAGGGTCGAGGCATGTTCCCATTGCCGAAATGGGAACTGTTTGGAGGAAGTCCCCGGAGTGATGTGCACTCACAGCTTGGAGATGGGCAGCCTCCCTGTCGGATGTTACAGCCCTGAGCATGTTGGCAAGCACCTTTTCAGCGATGGGGCCATCACAACTTGACTCCTTGTAGGCCAGTGCTGCACTAGGTTTTGGTGCTGAAGCAGCAACAGTCTCCCATACAGTGATGGCACTGATGTAGCTAGGGTCCTGTGTTCCTGCTGAGTCACTAAGGTTGTCCAGAAGAATTTGTTTTATTAACTCATTTGATGCTATGGTAGAGGATAGTAAAGCTAGTAGGGCAATCTGGGAGGATTTGCATACTCTCATCCCCCCAAGCCTGACTGGAAGTGAGGCTTCCAACCACTGTCCATCTTCAAGGGAAAGATTCAATACACTCTCTAGCATGGTCTTAAAGAGAGTCATATTCCTTGAGTTTCAGACTGCTGAAGGCTCTGGAGCATCTCAGGAAGTAGGTAAGTTTTGGGATTGACAGGCACCTGGTGAGTAGGTAGAAGGCATCATGTGTATCGATGTCTTTCATCCTGCTTTCCATCGTCCTGAGGTCTGAGATTCTTTTTCTAGGATCAGATCGATGGCATTGGACCCAAGAGGAGCGCCAAGGAGAGTGCTGTTGGCTGGATCAATGGCTCGTGCTCCTGGTAAAACAGCACTAATATCCTGGATCATCTGTCGATTGGTAGAAACTATTTCACATTTGATGGGGTTTAAAGATAGGCCCAGGCTTTCTCCCAGGTCTTTAATTTTACTGATGTCCTCTAGGAGAGATTCTGTTGTGCCAGCTTGGGTACCAACATCCAAGAACCATTTATTGAGCTCACTGGAGAGTGCTTCTGTGACTTCCTTGATGACCAGACAGAATAGAAAGGGGGCGAGAGGGTTGCCCTGTTCACGCCCTCACACGAGTCAATTTTAAGGTCACCAAACAATAGTTTAAAAGTTACATTATAACACGATTCAGTGAAGGGATACAGGGAAGGGAAGTGTCTAGAAACTGCTTGGAGAGCAGCAACCCTTCTGACTAAGTTGAAAGCGTCGGCACAGTACAATTTGATCAAGGCTATTTCATCGGGCATGTTGTTGATATATACTCGTGCTGCGTGGGCAGCTGATTCACAGCCTTGTTGAACACCAAAACCGAGCTGAGTTGGTTTCAACATTGAGGCAGCTTCTTGACTCACCATTCTTACTGCAGCCTTGGCGACTGGGCACCGAAGGGTGGTGCCCACTGCAATGGGCCTGATTCTTCCATCCTTCTTTCGGAGGACAGTCAGGCACCAAAGAAAAGGTGTCTAATGGCCTCCGGGACACTGCCATCCATGCATACATTGGAAAATTTGGTGAGTTCAGCCAGCAACCTCTCTGAAACATCACCAAGTGCTGGAATGAGCATTTGTTTTAAGTGTTGTTGCCTTAAACCAGTGGTTCCCAAACTGGGGGTAAATTACACCCTGGGGGTAATTTAACCATTTTTGGGGGGTAATGGAGGGGAGACAGAAAAAAGTTATGAATTCTGAAAATCAAGAAAACAATGCGGTACCCGGTATGAGGATTATTGTTAACTTTGTCTTAGTATATAAAGTTGTAAAGTAAACCTATTATAAGTAAGTAATAAAGTTAAACCAAATAATAAACATCAAAAACTAATATACAGTATTAGAAAAGAAGAAATATATAGCTAAGTGTGTGGAAACCCAAAAGTATTTTGACAAGTATGCTTCAGGACAAAAGTCACTCAGTAGCCCAGATCGACCTGTCCAGTACGCGTCACTCACTTCCTGAGGCTGCCTCTATTTCACACTATCAGTTTATCTGTGAGCATCAGCCGAGGTAGACATAAGCTGGTATGTATGTGTTCTGCCCTGTGCAGTATATAGTTAGTATTTACCCACTGTTACTGTGAATTTGTAGCTATTATTAATTTTATATATAATGTATGTGTGGTTCTTTCGTTTTCAATGGTTTTGCTAGGATTAGCAGAGTATGCGAGGCTGTATACGTTCACGTTTAGCCATGTATATCAATAATAACAACATTTTGTGAAAGGGGTAACATGCTTTATGTGGCATGTTAAATTGGGTAACAAGCTGAAAAAGTTTGGGAACCACTGCCTTAAACAGATGAAACCTCCTGCTGAGCCCTGTGGAAATGACATAGCAGCTTTATACACATCAGCATCCTGTAATGTTAAATGTTCTTAACCTGCTGCAATGTCAGGGAGGTCAATGTTGGTACTGGGAGCCCTGGGTGGATGTTTGTCCTTCAGAGCTTGCGCCGTACTGACGTCCTTAGGAGCGATGGTATCCTCACTGGTTATAAGCCTCAGAGCTCCAATAGTATTACCCTCTTCTATTTTTTTTTGCTAATTTGGGCTCTGATTTTTGAGGCGTCGGGTGTCCTGTTGTTGGCATTTGCCCGGCGGGTGTTTGTCGCCCTAGGGGGGAGACGGACGAGGTTGTCATCCCTCGGGAATACATTAATTGCTCTAATAACATGTGTTGCTAGTGACTGTCCCTCCTTGGTGGGACAGCCAAACAGGCATTGCCAAAAAGCAGCAGGTTGTGCCAGGATCTGTTATTTGAAGGAGCATCGTTGACTTTCTTCAGAAGGTCAGTGAATTTTCTAGCAGCTCGAGAGCGAGCTGCTTTGAGGATGTGTGTCAGAGTCCTGGTGGATGTTAATTTGATTGCAGATTTGAGGTCCTCTGTAGAGGTGAAGTCACGGTAGCTGTCAGCTCTGTCTGCTGTGAGGGGCTGTTGGTTGTTCTCATTTGGAGCTCTCCTGGAGCCTAGACATCCATTATGTGCACGGATGTTGCGCACTTGAGTCCTGGAGATGGGAAGTACAGTGTCTGCACTCTGAAGGAGGGGTGTTAATGTTGCAGTTTTATAAACTGTAGTGTAAAGCACCCTTCTGGCAAGACGGTGATGGGGTAAATGATGATGAAAGTTTTTCTTCTTTCGGGCCACCCTGCCTTGGTGGGAATCGGCCGATGTGTCGATGTGTTAATATATATATATATATATATATATGTCGTGCCGAATAGGCAGAACTTGCGATCTTGGCTTAAATAGCAACGCTCATCTTGCCATATAGGACAAGTGAAAATTTGTGTATGCAATAATTTCGCCAAATTTATTCTGAACCTAACGAAAAAAATATATTTCACTGTCATTGTTTAGTATTAAATTATTGTAAACAAATTTAAAATATATTTAGTTGGGTTAGGCTAAAATAAATTACTCTTGTTATAATAAGGTTAGGTAAGTTTTCTAAGATACTTTTGGTGCAAAAGTAAAAAATTTTACATTAACATTAATGAAAAAAATATATCTCTAAAGGTATAAGAGGAAATTTCAGAAAGGACTTAATTTTAAATGAGTTCTTGCTAATTGACCAGTTTTACATATTCGGCACGACATATATATATATATATATATTATATATATATAATATATATAATATATATATATATATATATATATATATATATATATATATATATAATATAGGGAGGTACCACATCTAGAACTGTCCTGGGGACCCTCATCCTCAGAGAAAAGAATAAACTTGCTTCAGGGAAAACTCGAGATTCTCCCTGAAGCTATATGTCGTGCCGAATATGTAAAACTGGTCAATTAACAAGAACTCATTTAAAATTAAGTCCTTTCTGAAATTTTTTCTTATACGTTTAAAGATATATATTTTTTCATTAATGTTAATGTAAAAAATTTTAATTTTGCACCAAAAGTATCTTAGAAAACTTACCTAACCTTATTATAACAAGAGCAATTTATTTTAGCCTAACCCAACTAAATATATTTTAAATACGTTTACAATAATTTAGTACTAAACAAACAAAATCAAATATATTTTGTTCGTTATGTTCAGAATAGTTTTGGCGAAATTATTGCATACACAAATTTTCACTTGTCCTATATGGCAAGATGAGCGTTGCTATTTAAGCCAAGATCGCAAGTTCTGCCTATTCGGCACGACATGTATATTGATTTAGCTTCATTTAATTTTCACTCAACAGCTGAAGCGTGATGGCGTAATTTCTCCACCATGCAACCCTAACCAGTCGTCACTGGAGCATGAGATTGTGGCAGTAACTACAACATTCAACAGAGCGTGTGTGCCTGGCACTTGGGCAACCATTACTTCAGTAGATTCAGCACTCAGTACGTAAAGCTACTGAATTGTCTTTTATTTAACTATTAGGTAAAAATGAGCCTACATGGGTACTAAAATTAGAGGTGTGCTTCATATTTCCGCCTGTGTGTGTGTGTGTACTCACCTATTTGTACTCACCTATTTGTGGTTGCAGGGGTCGAGTCTTAGCTCCTGGCCCCGCCTCTTCACCGGTTGCTACTAGGCCCTCTCTCTCCCCGCTCCATGAGCTTTATCAAACCTCGTCTTAAAACTGTGTATGGTTCCTGCCTCCACTACGTCATTTTCTAGGCTATTCCACTGCCTTACAACTCTATGACTGAAGAAATACTTCCTACTATCTCTCTGACTCATTTGTGTCTTCAACTTCCAATTGTGGCCTCTTGTTTCTGTGTCCCCTCCCTGGAAATCCTGTGTGTGTGTGTGTGTGTGTGTGTGTGTGTGTGTGTGTGTGTGTGTGTGTGTGTGTGTGTGTGTTGTGTGTAGTGTTTTTAGTGTGTGTGTGTGTGTGTGTGTGTGTATTGTGTGTAGTGTTTTTAGTGTGTGTGTGTGTGTGTGTGTGTGTGTGTGTGTGTGTGTGTAGTGTGTGAGATAAAAGTTGCACAGTGTTTGACAGTAACAAAATAATACAATGTGTACTTGGCTGAGTTGGTTGAGTGGCGCCGTATGAATTAGCAAAAAAAAAAAATCAGAATAAGTGACAGCATTACATTAATGATACACAAAACCGACACAAAAATGAATAAGACACATGTGTAACACAGGAAATCTTTATTATAAAGATGCTGGAAACAGTTGAAGATAAGGTAATCAGTCCCTCAGCTTTGATAGATGTTGAGTGTCTTAACCTTGATCAATGTGAAGAACGTTCCAGTATATAAGCTTCCAACTTGCTACATCTGCTGCAGAGTGATCACTGCTACACGACGGATCACCTTCTATCAAGGCTAACAAACTGCTTACATAAATTTCCACTGTCTTCGGAATATAAAATTTGTATTGAAATGAAAAAGTCACTGGATGGTGAAACGTCTTCATAATAAAGGTGACTCACGCAACCGTAATAACACGACTGCAAACAAACCAGGGTACGGGTGGGATTTAAACTATGGCGAGTGAGTCGTAAAACTCCAGGCCAGTGCGTAAACCACTGGACCAGCTGGTGACATGATGAATGCAGCTTACGTATGTTCTTTCTGTTTTCAGAGCAACGTTATGCAGCCATGTGTTCAATGTGCAAGAGTGGAACCTGTGACGTTAATGACGACTATATTGGCTATGAAGGAGCTTTACGATGCCTCACCGAGAAAGGCGGAGATGTGGCCTTCAGCAAACTCACAGTTGTTCAAAAATTTTTCTCGGTACGTTGAATATTTTTTATTTTCTAAAGACGTTCGAAACTGGGAATTATACCCAAATATCAAGTAAGGTTTGAATATATAACATTTACAGGAGTGACTATTTTACCAGGGCCATCTTGTCCTGTTAAGAATGAATCGTTGCTATTAAGACTTGGTTCAAACTTTGTTACAATTAACTTCTTTAATGGCTTGGTTGCCCATGGCTAACCAGCAGCATTCTGTAATCCATTGATAAGAAACACCAGTATGAAAAGCAATATAGACAAGGCTTAATACACAAAGATATTCTTAAACAATATTCAACAGTTCTCACCAAATTAATAAAGAAAGCCAAACAACTGTACTACTCCAGCAGATTCACTGGCCCAAGAGGAGTTATAAAAAAGACCTGGAAAACACTTTCCCAGATTCTGGGGACCACACAAACTGAAAAAAAACAAGAATATTGTTCTAACTAAACCTCATGAAAAACCACTGTATCCCACAGATACAGCTAACAAGATTAGATTTAGATTTTGCCACCGAAGTGGCTAGTTTATTGTGAACCCCATATCCATCCTGTGGACGGTAGCGCGAGAGCATATGGATACACTAAAGGCCTAGGAACTAGGCCCCAAAGGGTTAACAGGAATACATTTGGATTTATATCTACATATCTATAGTTCACTTATCTGTTACAAGCAAATTTAGGAAATTTGCTTAGTATATCTGGTATCTTATTTTCATTAATAAGAAATATTGACATGTCACATAGGATATTATTACATAAGAATTAACAGCTAACAAGATAAACGACTTCTTCTCAAACATAGGATCTAATCTCGCCAGTAAAATCCCACGTACCAGTGCCCGTGCCAGGGACTACCTAGATGGGAATTTCCCAAATTCCTTCTATCTTGTACCAACTGAGCCCACGGAAGTAACCGCGATCATAAAGTCACTTAAAAATAACTCGGGGGAATCTGTCTAACATCCCACCATTATTGTACAAGCGAGCGGCCCATGTCCTTTCGTATGCTATTACATTACTTTTTAACAAGTCACTAGAAACTAGCACTTTCCCGACACTACTCAAGACAGCAAGGGTTACACCAATCCATAAAGGTGGTGACCCTACAGACGTAAACAACTATAGGCCAATATCAAACTTACCATTGCTATCCAAAATCTTCGAGAAACTCGTGCACAGGAGACTATATTCATTTATAACGTCACAAAACATACTCAACCCCTGCCAATCTGGATTCAGAAAAAATAAAAGCATTAATGATGCAATTATAAAAATGCTAGACCTGCTTTACACAGCATTGGAAAATAAGGAATATCCGCTAGGAATTTTTATTGACCTAAGAAAAGCGTTTGACAAAGTAGACCACGGCATCCTACTCCACAAACTTGACCACTATGGTATAAGAGGCCATGCGCTTGCATATTTTAAATCCTACCTTTCTAATAGGTATCAGTATGTCAATATTAAAGACAAAGCCTCATCAATACGGCCACTTGATACTGGAGTTCCTCAGGGAAGTGTCCTTGGACCCCTGCTCTTCCTCATTTACATCAATGATCTTCCAAACATATCCCAACACCTGAAACCCATTCTCTTTGCTGACGACACGACTTATGTCATCTCCCACCTTAATCATGTCACCCTCAACACCATTGTTAACGAGGAGCTGCTCAAAATATCGACTTGGATGACAGCCAATAAACTTACACTTAACACTAGCAAAACCTACTATTTTATGTTTGGTAGTAGAGCAGGTGTTGCGCAACTTAACATTAAGATCGACAACACTCTAATTGCCAGACATACTGAGGGCAAATTCCTTGGCCTATACCTCGACAACAACCTAAATTTCAGCACCCATATCCAACACATAACAAAAAAAGTATCCAAAACAGTGAGGATCCTCTCCGAGATACGATACTACGTACCGCAAACTGCCCTTCTCACACCATACCATTCACTTATATATCCATACCTCACCTATGCTATCTGTACTTGGGGTTCAACTGCAGCAACACACCTAAAGCCAATAATAACCCAACAAAAAGCCGCAGTAAGAATAATCACTAAATCCCATCCCTGGCAACACCCCCCCCCCACTCTTCATAGATCTAAACTTACTCCCTGTTCAGAATATCCACACTTACTACTGTGCAATCTATATCTACAGGACCTGAACATCCTACCTGAAAACTCTAGAACTGCAGACACATTCATCACTTTCAAAACTACAGTTAAAAAACATCTCCCTGATCCACCCCGACAACTAACAACATGATAGCCACCTGGTGGTTCACAATTACACTCAGTCACCCACTGACTATAAACCCAGAAATACTAATCTTAATCTTAAAATAATAAATCCTAACTAGTCATAAGTTTGCCTATGATGCTCCAATATAGACACCTTGTATTGTGCCAAAACAAAAGCATTCACATTGCTAAACTCACAAATTATGATGTAGTCACTTAGCCTTAATACCATAATCTGTAAGGATTTAATGTTAAGAATTAACCTAAGTCTGCACGAGATGCCTAACCATGCTAGGTGTCCTAGTGGCCCCCTCTGTAATTAGTATTTTATAACATGTAAACTACACAATACCCAAAACCTGTAAACCCCACATTGTAACCCTTATAGAGAATAAACTTGAATTGAATTGAATTGAATGACTTTCAGTAGAGAACTCTAAAACTGCTTTTGCTGCAACACAACACTTGCAACAAGATTTCCCTTCTAACTGTCGCCGTAAAAGATAAATGAAAGGAATCGATGCCTTTCATCACGATTCAAAATCTAGCATTTTTTCCCGATTTACTTTCCCACGCCAATAAATTTACAATGATTTGTTTTCCTGGCTCAGGTGTACTGCCATATCCCACAGATATCTCGTATAATATTGACTAACACCCAAGTACTTATTTACAGCCGGGTGATCAGGGGCAGCAGATGTAAACAGACAACCCAGGTACTTACTGTTATAATTGTTAGGTAAACAGTGTAGGTACTGTTACCAAATTCTTTACTAGTAATCATATTCCTCACATAGAAAATATGGTAAGATCTGGTGCTGACAGTACAAATTCAATGTTAAGGGCTCAGAATTCAATGTTAAGGGCTCAGAATTCAATGTTAAGGGCTCAGAATTCAATGTTAAGGGCTCAGAATTCAATACCAAGTCATAATATAATACTAGGCGCTCATAACTTTCTACAATGAAGTGTAGATACAATATTTGTGTTTATTAGCCAATTTTACACTCAGAATTTGGTTTGGTAATGTGAAATCCCCTCTCACCAGTTTTTAGGAATTTGTACATTGAATTTTTTGAAACGTGACTGCTTACTTGGAGTCTATCTGGAGGATGTTCCGGGGGTCAACGCCCCCGCAGCCCAGTCCATGACCAGGCCTCGCGGTGGATCACAGCCTGATCAATCAGGCTGTTACTGCCGGCTGCACGCAGTCCAACGTAAGAACCACAGCCCAGTTGGTCAGGTGCTGACTTTAGATAAATGTACATCTCCATCTTGAAGACAACCATGGGTCTCTTGGTAATCCCCTTTACGTATTCTGGGAGGCAGTTGAACAGTCTTGCCCCCCTGACACTTATTGTGTTATCTCTTATTGTACTAACGGCACCCTTTCTTTTCATTCTTCCTGATAAAGTCAAACGGTACAGATATGCGGATGATGTTCTATGCTTAATGACCAAGAATTTAGATATAAACCACTTTCTACTTGAATTAAATAGTTTAATTCGATTTCCTGTGGCTTAATTTGCTTACATATATATTATATATATATATATATATATATATATATATATATATATATATATATATATATATATATATATATATATATATTATGGTCGTGCCGAATAGGCAGAACTTGCGATCTTGGCTTAAATAGCAAACGTTCATCTTGCCATATAGGACAAGTGAAAATTTGTGTATGCAATAATTTCGCCAAAATCATTCTGAACCTAACGAAAAAAATATATTTCACTGTGTTTGTTTAGTATTAAATTATTGTAAGCAAATCAAAAATATATTTAGTTGGGTTAGGGTAAAATAAATTGTTCTTGTTATAATAAGGTTAGGTAATTTTTCTAAGATTCTTTTGGAGCAAAATTAAATTTTTTTACATTAACATTAATGAAAAAAATATATCTTTAAACGTATAAAAGAAAATTTCAGAAAGGACTTAATTTTAAATGAGTTCTTGCTAATTGACCAGTTTTACATATTCGGCACGACATATATATATATATATATATATATATATATATATATATATTATATATATATATATATATATATATGTCGTGCCGAATAGACAGAACTTGCGATCTTGGCTTAAATAGCAACGCTCATCTTGCCATATAGGACAAGTGAAAATTTGTGTATGCAATAATTTCGCCAAAATTATTCTGAACCTAACGAAAAAAATATATTTGATTTTGTTTGTTTAGTACTAAATTATTGTAAACGTATTTAAAATATATTTAGTTGGGTTAGGCTAAAATAAATTGCTCTTGTTATAATAAGGTTAGGTAAGTTTTCTAAGATTCTTTTGGTGCAAAATTCAAAATTTTTACATTAACATTAATGAAAAAAATATATCTTTAAACGTATAAGAGAAAATTTAAGAAAGGACATAATTTTAAATGAGTTCTTGCTAATTGACCAGTTTTACATATTCGGCACGACATTATATATATATATATATATATATATTATATATATATATATATATATATATATATATATATATACATACAAAACTTTACTGAAGTCATAACGTTGTACTATTATTATTATAGTCGTGGGAAGTACTAAACCCGTACGATTATGCAGCAAATGACTTTGTACAAGAGGTAGTTGTGGAAACTCGAACAGGATGTATACAGGATACTAATACTCCATGCTACCAGTTCGGTGGTGTTGACTCTAATATGAGGAAGTCTTTACGGGCCTCCACCCTAACTCCAACACAAATCGTAGCTGTCAATAAGTAGAAAAAAATATTTTCTTTTTGTTCTTCGTCTGACCTTCTTCTACCCACAGTGGTTTATTAATATCATTTACACCAGAATCAGCCGCCCAGCTGATACCATAAAAGAGATTTAGCAAATATTTAGTGTGTACTTCCATTCTCTCTCTCTTTCATTATCAGAATGCCAGAGCAGTGCTGGTGAACACCTATGGCCTAATGTGTCCAGACGGACGCATTGTTGACATCACCTCTCCAAACGCCAGTGATTGCTTTTGGGCTGCCCGACCCTGGGATATCTATGTGACACACGGTGGTGCAAGGTAATGAATGATACTGATAATCTTTATATCTAAAAAGTAGAGTAAACAACTGATGTATGATTAGTTGAGATTATTGACATACTTTATAGCAAGCCCCTCATGGTTGTGCACCACATTTTGGGAAGCCTTAAAAACAATTTATAATTAACGAACAGTTATTTAATCTTTTACATTGAATATAACACTTTGATGAGCCAAGATCTCACACTTGTTAAGCGAAATAACTGTTTGATCTATGATTATTTCTATACAGTGTGTTACATTTGTTCCAGTTTTGTAGATTCGATGAAAATATAATTCTTCACAATGTTTCATAGCCAGTGTTATATTATTAATAAATTTTCCAGTGAGGCCAAGGTTCAGAAATTGCAGTGGGCACTGAGCCAATCAAAGAGAAAAGGAGAAGCAGACCTAGCAACTAGAAATTGGTATTTTACCACCCTTGGAATCGACGAGTCATTCATCGATATTGTACCTACCTTGGATAATATGCAAACTGGATATTACTATGCAAACAGTAGGTGTAAACTTTTTTGTTACGAGTGCTTGGAATTAACCTACAGTCTCACCCAAGACAACTGTTTTACAGAGTTCATTGTTCACATTGCAGTGAATGGGATCCAAATAACATCTTTTACACTGAGCATCTCTTCTCACTTTTATTAAGAATAGCAGTTTGCAATCAGAACCACCGTTCACAATTTTTAGTGTAGTTCAAGTGTTAAGCTCTTCGGCACACTACACACACACACACACACACACACACACACACACACACACACACACACACACACACACACACACACACACCAGTGAAGAGGCGCGGCCAGGAGCTATGATTCGACCTCTGTAACCACAACTAGGTGAGTACACACATACTGCTAGGGACAATAACAGGCCACTGGGCCCAAGGACACCAGATAGTGAAGAAACTGAAGAAAGGAAAGCTACAATGGAGGAAACTAAATCGAATCAGAGGATACATAGGGATATGCAGTGGGAGAATGAATGGAAGAGGTCAGTCTTTGTTTATGGGCTCCAGGAAGTTGAAGGGGAAACTTAAGAAGCAAGAAGACAAGGGGGGGAAAATGCGATCAAAAGCATCATAAAAGCAATAGGAGAAGATAACATGACCCAGCTGACAAATTTTTGGAGAATAGGGGGATTTGCAAGAAGAACCCGGCCAGTGAAAGTGACTTTCAAGGCAGAAGATAAGATAAAATTTCGTTCGGATTTTTAACCCCGGAGGGTTAGCCACCCAGGATAACCCAAGAAAGTCAGTGCATCATCGAGGACTGTCTAACTTATTTCCATTGGGGTCCTTAATCTTGTCCCCAGGATGCGACCCACACCAGTCGACTAACACCCAGGTACCTATTTGCTGCTAGGTGAACAGGACAACAGGTGTAAGGAAACATGTCGAAATGTTTCCACCTGCCGGGAATCGAACCCGGGCCCTCTGTGTGTGAAGCGGGAGCTTTAGCCACCAGGCCACCAGGCCACCGGGCCTGATTGACTCGGAACAGGATCCTGCAGGAGAAAGCAAGACCAAAGTACATGCTGGCATACCGGAAGGTGTATCTCGACTGCGACAGAACTCAAGAAGAAAGGCAGAAACTGAGAGAGATGATACAAAGATGGTCAAGATGGAGATGGGCAGGAGAACCCAGACTCAGGAGGAAGATCAAATACAGCCTCCCTCACAACCACCTACAGAAGCCCCCAACCAGGACAACCCCAATGCAACCAAACATTCTAGCCCAAAACACACATGCCATATCCAGTGCCCCCACCCACCTCATTACAAACTCCGCCCCCACAGCAACCACCCATAGTTCCTTATCAGGTCTCCTACTTCCCCAACCCCAACGTACCCCCCAGGCGACAGTTTTAGAAAAGAAGTTGAAGGTGTGGTATACAAATGCAGACGGAATAACAAATAAGTGTGAGGAGTGGCATGAAAGAATTAAGGAGACATCCCCAGATATAATAGCACTCACAGAAACAAAACTCACCAGGATGCTAACAGATGCAATCTTTCAACCTGGATATCAAATCCTCAGGAAAGATAGAGGGAGGAAAGGGAGAGGAGTTGCACTGCTCATTAAAAACTGGAGGGGATTTGAGAAAATGGACGGAATGGATTGTATGGGCGAAAGGGACTACTTAGTAGGACAAGCCAGTCTGAGGGCCATAAGGTGGTAATTGCAAAAATGTACAACCCACCACAGAACTGCAAGAGGCCAAGAGAAGAATATGAAGAGAGCAACAGAGCAATGGTGGATGCCCTAGTTGAGGTGGTCAAAAGAACTCACACGGGTAGAGCAAAGTTACTAGTTATGGGTGATTTCAATTACAAGGAAATTGATTGGGAAAACCTGGAGCCACATGGGGGTCCCAAAACATTGAAAGCCAAGATGATAGATGTGGTACTGAAATACCTCATGCATCAACAAGTTAGGGACACTACCAGTGATGATGAACCAATAAGACTGGACTTTGTATTCACTCTGAGTAGCTCGGACGTCAAGGTACTCGAGAACATCACGCATGAATGGCCCCTCGGAGCTAGTGATCACGTGGTTCTGAGCTTTGAATACATAGTAGAGTTACAAGTAGAGAGGGTAACAGGAGTAGGCTGGGAAAGTCAAACTACAAAAGGGGACTCTACACAGGCATGAGATACTTCCTACAGGAGGTTCAGTAGGAAGGAGAATTGGTAGGAAAATCAGTAAACAAAATGATGGACTGTGTTACAACAAAATACAAGGAGGGATAGGAAAGGTTTGTTCCCAAGGGCAACAGAAATAATGGGAAGACCAGAACGAGCCCCTGATTTACCCAAAGGTGTAGGGAAGCAAAAACTATGATCGCTAGAGAATGGAAAAGTACAGAAATAAAGAACTCAGGAAAATAAAGAGATTAGTCGGAGAGTCAGAAACGACTATACACAGATATGGAGGGAGGCCCAGCGACAGTATGAAAACGACCTAGCATCGAAAGTCAAGTCTGACCCGAAGCTGTTGTATCGCCACATTAGGAAGACAATAGTCAAGGACCAGGTAATCAAGCTAAGGAAAGAAGGTGGGGAGCTCAAGAAATGACCAAGAAGTATGTGAGGAGCTCAACATGAGATTTAAGGAAGTATTTACTCATGGATACAACTTGCAGATGCTGCAACACCCTTCATATGTTTCCCTCTTATCCACTGTAATAATTTCTCTGCCTTTACTAACTTAGATTCGTCAGCCATTTTAACATTTTTTATTATTTCGTGTTGCTTGATGACAGAAAAGATGGTTAATTGTGGAAAGCCACACTCACGCACCAAATGCACAGATTTCTTGCTTGATCTTTAGAGAAATTGCCTGTGTACTGTACATAAGGAAAAAATATATTTAATTGATTTTAAAATAATATTAAATCAAATTAAACTGTTGTGTGAAATACTGAATAGAATCTGGTTTAAAAATGCATTAGGGTGAGGTTTCTAAGTTAGATTTGGCCCTAAAACTCTTACATCATGACCAATGAAAAAAATGTGTATCATCCTTCAAAACATTTTGAGGGGAAATTCCACTTTTTAACAGAGTTCACCCTATTCAGCAAGTTCGGCTTATTAAGCACGATAATTGTGTATATGTGTAGTTATCTACTTGTACTCACCTGTTTGTAGCTGCAAGGATCAATTGACAGCTCCTGGCCCCGCCTCACTGCTGGTCGCTACTAGGTCCACTCTCTCTCTCCCTCTCTGCTGAATGGGCTTTATTGTATCTCTTCTTAATGATAAGTATGGATCTCGCCTCTACTATGTCACTCTCCAGATTGTTCCACTTTCTGACAACTCTATGACTGAAGAAATACTTCCTAACATCCCTGTGACTCATCTCAGTTTTCAACTTCCAGTTGTGGCCCCTTGTTACTGTGTACCATCTCTGAAACATTGTCCCTATCCACCTTGTCGATTCTTCTCGGTATTTTATATGTCGTTATCATATCATCCCTATCCCTCCTGTCCTCCAGTGTCATCAGATTGATTTCCCTTAACTTTTCCTCGTAGGACATACCCCTTAGTTCTGGGGACTAGCCTTGTTGCAAACCTTTTCATTTTCTTTAATTTCTTGATGTGCTTGACCAGGTGTGGGTACCATACTGGTGCTGCATACTCCAATATGGGCCTGACGTGCACGGTGTACAGAGTCTTGAATGATTCCTTATTCAAGTGTCGAAGCCCTATTCTTAGATTTGCCAGGCACCCATTTGCTGCAGTAGTTATTTGATTGATGTGCGCCTCAGGAGATGTGCTTGGTATTATACTCACTCCAAAAGATCCTTTTCCTTGAGTGAGGTTTGCAGTCTTTGGCCCCTTAGCCTGTACTCTGTCTGCGGTCTTCTTTGACTTTCCCCAATCTTCATGACTTTGCACTTGGTGAGGTTAAGATAAGATTTCGTTCAGATTTTTAACCCCGGAGGGTTAGCCACCCAGGATAACCCAAGAAAGTCAGTGCGTCATCGAGGACTGTCTAACTTATTTCCATTGGGGTCCTCAATCTTGTCCCCCAGGATGCGACCCACACCAGTCGTTTAACACCCAGGTACCTATTTGCTGCTAGGTGAACAGGACAACAGGTGTAAGGAAACGTGTCGAAATGTTTTCCACCCGCCGGGAATCGAACCCGGGCCCTCCGTGTGTGAAGCGGGAGCTTTAGCCACCAGGCCACGGGCCACGAGCTAGTTGCTGGACCAGCTTGCTGCCTGTCCAGATTCTTTTGTAGTGCTATCTGATCCTCATCCACAGCCTGGTTGATCAGACCTTGATCCACCGTGAGGCCTGGTCTCAGACCGAGCCGAGGGGGCGTTGACCCCCAAAACCCTCTCCAGGTAAACTCCAGGTAACTTCAATTCTTCTCATTAGCTTCACATTGCCTGCAAACAGGGACACCTCTGAATCTATCCCTTCCATCATGTAATTCACATATACCAGTAACAGCACTGGCCCTAGGACTGACCCTTGTGGAACCCCACTCGTCACAGGCACCCACTCTGACACCTCGTCACATATCATCACTCGTTGTTTCCTTCCTGCCAGGTATTCTCTGATCCACTGCAGTGCCTTTCCTGCTATTCTTGATTGCTCCTCTAGCTTTTGCACTAATCTCTCGTGCGGAACTGTGTCGAAATCCTTCTTACAGTCCAAGAAAATGCAGTCTTTCCACTCCTCTCTCTCTCTCTCTCTCTCTCTCTCTCTCTCTCTCTCTCTCTCTCTCTCTCTCTACTCTCCTGCCTTTATTCTGTTACCTTGGCATAAAACTCCAGTAGGTTTTGTGACACAGGATTTTCACTCCCTGAAACCTTTCTAGGTGCTCCACCATTTTTCTCCCTCATCACCCCTCCCCCCCTCTCTCTCACTCCTTTCACTGTTTTACGTTAAACAACTTGAATGAATCTTCAGAAAATTTTCTAATGCACTTTGAGATATCTTGATACTTAGATTAAAATAACGTGCTTGTTATACATAAAGTCCGTTGTCTATATTATAAATTAAGATACTAAATAAAAAATTACTTCAATCTGAGGATGAAAAGTAACTCAGGCGGCTCAGAGCTTAAAAGATTTTATAGGAATGCGAGTAAAATTTTCACCAATATTTCTGTATCTGCAATTGCAGAAAAAATATAATTAAGAGTTGACATAAAACCATACAAGTATTTTGTCAATCTGCATCAAGTGTAAATTGTGTAATTTCAGTAAATTATCATTATTTACATTTCTGCCTAAAACTATGCACTGACACAATAAAACATGAAATTTTCAGGTCGCATGAACATTGTAGAGGCTGAGGAGATCTGCACTGATGAGAAGGGTGTTGGGTTCTGTGTCACTTCTGATGATGAATACAAGAAATGTGATGACTTGAGCAAGATGTTAAAGCTAAGAGGAGTGTCGCCTGAGCTGCACTGTGTGAGGGGAAGTGACATTTACAACTGTGTCAACAAGATCACTCTCGACTTGGCTGATGTAGTCTCTCTCACTGATGTTCAACTCTTCACGGCTAAACAGTTAGTATTTTCTGGTATTCTTTTTATCCTTGTTTTCTGTGGCATATTTTTAGTTTTCATTTTCTGAATAACTGACAATAAGATGACCTCATATTAACGCCAATTACTTATCCATAATTACTTTGTAATTACCTATTTGCAGAAATGAGCTTCAACTCTGTCTTACCTCTTTATTTTCGACTGATTGATGTGATTTAACCCTATCGTATGTATTTTTTTGAACTCATACACGGAGTTCTTTTCTATTATGTCATTGCTCAGTTCATTATACTAATTTACCATTCTTACATTAAAGAAATGCAAATTTCCTAATATCCCTGTAGCTCCTTTGGGTAGATCATGTCTAACATACCCCCTTTGTTCTTTTCACAGTCCTTGTCTACCGAATTTATGCCCTGTAAGTTTTTATATGTAGACATTATATCCTCTTTTCTACTCTCTTCTAGTGACATAAAACCTAGTTCACGTATCCTTTCTTCATATTTCATTCGGCTCAGGTATCAATCTTAATACTCGGCTGTGCATTCTCTTAACTTTAATTTTAAGTATTGCTAAGTGAGGGTTCCACGCCGGTGTGGCATACACAGTAATGGGTCTCGGAGATGAGATAAAAGTGTTCTGAGAAAGTGTGTATCCTGAGCTACGTGAATTACAATCATGAAATGCAAGTCCTGCCTAACGACACTGAAACGCAGCTCCCACCCCAGACCCGCCATAGGGTCGACAGAGCACCAGACATTGCCATATTGTCTATTCCCTCAGGTAAAGACTCGGAATGGACGAAAGTATGAGAATATGGGAGACTAATAAAACGGGAAAATAACTAAAAGGAGGTAGTACTTTATTCTCTCAGTTGGAAGTATGCTGCCACCACCTGCTCTTTTAACAGAAGAGATACAAGTAGCTAAAGTCATAGGATAAGGGGGAGGCACGGAATTTGGGTTAGAGCAGAGAAAAAACCCCAGTGAGAAATAATACAGAATAGCTATAACAAGGTAGTGGTCTTGATAAGTACTGGCTCTTAGGGCAGTTTGGCCTGAAAAGTGAGCAGTAGGCACCTTACCAGGGGCTTGACATACCAGATAAAACAGCGCACAATATACATACATACACTACAAGGGAACTTGAAATTTTTGGCACCAACAAGGGAAATTTGCTATCTCAAAACATATAAAATATTAGCACACGCTTAGCTGATACATAATTCTCAAGGAACTCCCTTGACTTAACATACTCTCTGGGGCTACCTCCCTTGATTCAGTGCCTTAATACATTCCTTCTTTAGGCTGCTGCTGCGATCTTCCGAATCCCAGATTACAATCCTGGTCTGATCCTCCAGGACTAAGGTTTTTAAGGTCTCTAGTAATATCCTTTCCTCAGTATTTCAGGTTGAGTCTGCTAACTTTTAGGCATTTCAGGGGTGCCTGGTTTAGCCAATCCATAAACTTCTACTAATTCTTAGGCATCTCTTGGAGAAGAGGGGTACCTGGTTGCTGCTAAACTTGTTAGCAGCAGATTGATGAATATGGGTAGTTGGAAAAGACTGCTTAGGCCAACAAAAGTGTGAGAGTGAGGGAATGGTTTACAGATGATTACCTCGTGTTTCCTTCCAGGATTGAACCGAACTTCAACCCGACATGACAACAGGACCAAGATAGGCGTCATTATAGGATTTTTATCCTTAAGAGCTTTTAGGCTCTCCAACGCGTAATACGTGAAAGACAGTGAATGCATTAATCAGTTCTTCCTACAACTTCAATTCTCATCACACCGTATCAGGAAGAGCCATGTGCATGCTCATGAGGAACAACATAGACAACACGACAGATAAATACAGAGATTTATAGTATAATGAGCTTTTTGCCTTATTATCTAAGAAGGGCACCTATCCTCTTTTCCCTCAGTCCTTAGTCAGTAACATTGCCTTTCCTCAGTCTTTACAGTCAATAACATTCTTTTCCCTCAGTCCTTACAATCAGTAACATTGTTTTTCCTCAGCACTAATAGTCAGTAACACTATTTTTCCTCAGTACTTAGTAACATTGTTTTTCCTCAGCAATTACCGTCAGGAACATTCATCTTAAATACCTCGAGGGACATCTTTAACATTCTTTGGAGCAGGCTGAAAATGTGTACTGCTTAATACACAAGCCCTTTTTTTACATCAACGTTTCTAATTGTACAAATGGTTGGTTTTCTTCAACAGAATCATAGATTCATGGCGCGTAATATTAAGATTTTCGCAGGCTATCAGTTTTTTTGCTTGCACTTTTGAGCTGCGTTACATGAAAATTAGGAAAGGTGAAGATGCATTGTAAGCGGGTTATACATTAAGAAAAGGAAATAACAGTATCCTAGCTTCTTGTAAATCTATTTAGTCCTTTAAATAATCAAGCAATTTTTTTTCTTTCCAAAGGCAATATAACATAGGAGCCATTTTGACGGAGAGTTCTGGCAATGATGAGTCTTACTTGTACTACCTGGTGGCGGTGATCAAGAAGAACTCGGGCATCAACACTGCCTCAGACCTTGCTGGCAAGACCTCTTGTCATGCAGGACATAGTTAGTATCTCAGGATGATTTTAAATCAATTCTCCGTTCATTCACATTGTGCAGTTGGTCATAAAAAAGCTAATGCTACAGTTTTAAATCATTAGTTTTTAAGCATTACTGAAGCTTAGATCCTTTTGAATATTTTGTCGAGAAAATGATAGATAATACATAAGTGTCTTCTTTTAAGCTTTTATATTCTAATGGAATTTTTGCAGTTTAATTTGACATACTATATGGATATAAAACCCAAATTGCCATCTCGAAACGTTAAAATAACAACTGTCTTTCTGCAGATTCCAGTACAGGTGGCGTCATAGACAGCAGTCTGTCAAACTGTCTCAGTAACACGAGTGACTTCTTCAAGACTTACACTGAGGCATTCAACTGTCTTGAGGGAGCTGATAAAGATGTAGCATTTGTTAAGCTTCCTACTGACAGTCAGAGTGGTAAGTATGCTGTGACTGTTATAAGTTAGTTAGTTTAATATGTTTATTATGCACCCCATACCCACCCTGTGGGCGGTAGTCAAAAGATTACAGAGGTACATAATTGGTCCAGGGACTGGACTATATATATAAACATGTATAATTACACACACACACACACACACACACACACACACACACACACACACACACACACACACACACACACAGTTGTAAGGCAGTGGAATAGCCTAGAAAATGACGTAGTGGAGGCAGGAACCATACACAGTTTTAAGACGAGGTTTGATAAAGCTCATGGAGCGGGGAGAGAGAGGGCCTAGTAGCAACCGGTGAAGAGGCGGGGCCAGGAGCTAGGACTCGACCCCTGCAACCACAAATAGGTGAGTACAAATAGGTGAGTACACTCAGGAGCTGAGTATCGACCCCTGCAACCACAATTAGGTGAGTACACACACATACAACCACAATTAGGTGAGTACACACACACACACACACACACACACACACACACCACACACACACACACACACACGGAGGTGTGATGAAGCTCATGGAGCAAAGAGTGTGTGGATCTAGTGGCGACCAGTGAAGAGGCGAGACTAGGAGCTATGAGTCGATCCCTGGGACCACAATTAGGTGAGTACACACACACACACGTGTAGTATGTAAAGTTATGGAGAGTATCAGAAGAGTAGCAGAGCACCTAGAAAGGAAGGGGCTCATAAATGACAACTAGCATGGCTTCATGGAAGGAAAATCCTGCATCACAGATCTACTGGAGTTCTATAAACTAACAGAAGACAGGAGAGAGAGAGAGAGGTAGACTGCATCTTCTTGGACTGTAATAATAATAATAATAATTTTATTTTAGCATGATGCATGTTTGTATAAAGGAGTATAACAGTTGGGTGTACGTGCTAAAAGCCCCTTTATATGCAGAGCATTAAGGCAAACTTAAGACTAACTTAAGATGGATAAGGCAATCACAGTGCAGTAACTGTACATATGGTCATTAGGTGAGTTATGAATACAAGAAAATTTAATATTCTGTTAGCACATGCTATATGTTACGCAGAAATGTGGGATACCTGGGGGCTAGAGCCTTGTCTAAGGACTAAGGTAAAAGTTACACTCATCTCAAGCATACACAGGCCACCCAGGGCTATCCCAGTCAAAACAGAAAGCGCTAAACCAGCATTTGTTACTTCAATGGGTTGGTTAACAGAGGGTTAGGCAAAACTCCTAGTTAAGAAAATATATATATTTATTCAATATAACACTATATACACACTCTAGAAAACACTTTCATGTATCTCCCATCCTAACCGCCCACATAGCAGGCACAAGAAGCAGGAGGCTGGCGGTCCAGTAACCATAACACTAGGCCTAGTCAGCGCCAGGCCGACTCTTCTCCAATACCGACCTCATTTCTTATTTCCTCACTCATCCCACAGCACCCTGACCATGTCAGAGCCTAGGTGGGCATACAGGTAAGCCATAGAAGAGCCTATGGCTTGGGTTAGCTAAACAAAAGGAGTACACAACTACAAACTTAGCTTAAATACACAGCATCTCCGACGCCAGCCTCCCCACCATGCTGACCCCACGTGACTCCCCTAGCCACGCTTACTCCACGTACCCAAACACACTTGGAAATTAAATCCCTAGCAGGATTTCTTTATAATTACAGTTAGAGCACTTTACAGTACCCCCAAATGCACATTATGAATTATAAAATTATTCTTTACAATTATTTATTTATTTATTTATTTATTAATTTGAACATGATACAGTGAAGTACAATGAAACACCACTACATCCCACTGACACAGCTAACAAGATAAACGACTTCTTCTCAACCATAGGATCTAATCTCGCCAATAAAATCCCACATACCAATGCCCATGCCGGGGACTACCTAGATGGAAATTTCCCAAATTCCTTCTATCTTGCACCAACTGAGCCCACAGAAGTCACTGAGATTATAAAGTCACTTAAAAATAACTCAGGGAATCTGTCTCATGTCCCACCATTACTGTACAAGCGAGCGGCCCATGTCCTTTCGCATGCTATTTCATTACTTTTTAACAAGTCACTAGAAACTAGCACCTTCCTGAAACTACTCAAGATGGCAAGGGTTACACCAATACATAAAGGTGGTGACCCTACAGACTTAAACAACTATAGGCCAATATCAAACTTACCATTGCTATCCAAAATCTTTGAGAAACTCGTGCACAGGAGACTATATTCATTTATAACGGCACAAAACATACTCAACCCCTGCCAATTTGGATTCAGGAAAAATAAAAGCACTAATGATGCAGTCATAAAAATGCTAGATCTGCTTTACACAGCATTGGAAAATAAGGAATATCCACTAGGAATTTTTATTGACCTAAGAAAAGCTTTTGACACAGTAGACCACGACATCCTACTCCACAAACTTGACCATTACGGTATAAGAGGCCATGCGCTTGCTTATTTCAAATCTTACCTTACTAATAGGTATCAGTATGTCACCATTAAAGACACAGCATCAACAACACGGCCACTTGATACTGGAGTTCCGCAGGGAAGTGTCCTTGGTCCCCTGCTCTTCCTCATATACATCAATGATCTTCCAAACGTATCCCAACACCTGAAACCCATTCTCTTTGCTGACGACACAACTTATGTCATCTCTCACCCTAATCTTGCCACCCTCAACACCATTGTTAACGAGGAGCTGATCAAAATATCGACTTGGATGACAGCCAATAAACTTACGCTTAACACTGACAAAACCTACTATATTATGTTATGTTTAATAATCTTCCTGGCCTGCTAGTGTACTCGCATATAATCTAGTGATACCAGTGAATAGCAGAATACAGTGCTGTAGTAGCAACTAACCAGTATTATAATGGTACTTAGTGGAGTGGAGTGACTTTCATTAGTTTCTTTTTCTTGAAATACCAGACGTTACTGTGAATTTCATATAACCTGTAGTTACCAGCGGTCGCAATATACACAACGAGAAGCAATTATTACTACAGAAAAAGCGTCCCTCCTCCAAAATTTCCACCAGTCAACTATAGTGATAATATAGCATTTATTGTGGTGGAGGCCAAAAAGAAAAACTAGAAAAGCTAGATACAGCGATTGATAAACAAGGGTTGAGGCTCGACCGTTCGTCACTGTAGGAGTTGCCAGCAGTCACCAGTTTCTTCAACACGCAAGTTATACTTTTGTATCAATCAAATAACATATTACTCGGGTAGAATTTTCCAGTAGATCCTTCATGTGTTAGCCCAAATCACCGACCAGTATGTTTTAAATAAGTGACCCACTGATCAGATCAGACTGGCTCCGAACCCTCGACTGGACCGAACCCTCGACTGGTCGAACCCTTGGCAGTTTCAAACGGATTCGTTGGACAATAAAGCAGACTGTAAACGGATGGGGTTGTAGGCGCCCTTATAAACACAAACAATAAATATAAAACAAACTCCAGGAGCGTACTCCGGTAAGCTGTCCTGATATAAAAGTACAGTTAGAAATAGAAATACAGATAGCTAGAGCTTTACTTAAAGAGGTTATTAATAGAGTATTCAAGAGGTTGCTAGTAGAATTACAGTAAATCAACCATTCAAATCATTATGAAGCTGTGTGTAGTCTGCAATATATCAAACAAACGGGCTTCCACATGGATAAATTGTCACTTATGTGGAAATTGGTGTCACGCCCCTTGTGTAGATATCCAAGAACTAGCTACAACAGTATTAAAACAGGGAGTGTTTTTTGGGTATGCCCAAAGGAGATAAATCTGTGGACTAAAATCACAAGGGTATTAAAAGAGGATAACATCAAAGCTGCTTTCATAGACAACCTGGAAGCTTTCTACAACAGATGGGAACATAAAAAGTCTGGGCTGAATGGTACTGCCCTTGATACTGGCCATGTAGTCAGAAACTGTAAGGCTTGAGGTGATGTCCTGGTAGTCAGTAAATGTGGGGCTGATAGTGCTGTCCTGGAAGACAGTAATGGTGAAGCTGGAGGTGCTGTCCTGGGAGACAGTAATGTTGGAGCTGGAGGTGCTGTCCTGGGAGACAGTAATGGTGAAGCTGGAGGTGCTGTCCTGGGAGACAGAAATGGTGAAGCTGGAGGTGCTGTCCTGGGAGACAGTAATGGTGAAGCTGGAGATGCTGTCCTGGGAGACAGTAATGGTGAAGCTGGAGGTGCTGTCCTGTTAGACAGTAATGGTGAAGCTGGAGATTTTGTCCAGGTAGTCGGGAATTATACGCAGGAAGGAATGCATATAAATGACCTCATAGGGGACAGGAGCCGTAGTGAGGAAACAAGTGTAGTCAAACATAAGATAAAACCAATATTGCAAAGAAGAAATACAACAGGAAATAGCAAACAAGAGGACTCCACTAGCAATAGCGAGGATATATTACCAAAACCAACTGGTGGGAGCTCCATTGTTGGTGCTAGGGAAGATACGAATAAGACAGGTAAACATGCACCAACAGGGAATACAGTCACAGAAACCCAAGGCAAACAGAAACCAAGCCTGTGCACATACTATGCACTTGGTATCTGCAGACATGGGAAATCTGGAAAAACAGATTGGACGTGCAACTATGACCACCCTAGAAAATGCCGTGCCCATATGACAACAGGAAAATGCAAACTCCCTTCCTGTAAGCTTTTTCACCCTGAAATGTGTACCTCTTCAGTACAGGAAAGACTGTGCTATAACTTAAATTGCCAGGCACACCATCTAAAGGGGACAAAAAGATACAAAACATCCAGGCAATGGGAAAACCTGGGTAGCCACGGCCACTCAAGAGGGAGAGGTTTTTTAGTGCCAGGAAGGAAAAAAAACTGGCAGGAAATGGCAGAAATTGTACACCAAATCCAGTCATTCCTGGAGTGGAACCACAGTCGATGGCCTCCACTCCAAACCAACAGATACAGATACTAATGCCGGAAAAAAAATCCCCCCCCCCAGTACCAACAATACCACCAGTCCGATGACATTCTTCTTTGCAAATAT